TGATAGCATTATATGTATAAGTTACTGTCCAGACCTTTACTATATCAAAAAGTCTCAAAAAGATTGTATCTCCCTGTGATGCGTGTGAGCTATCTGCCTACAGCTGTTTCATCCTCCATAGAACGATATGATTCATATACAGCCTGGCTTAAACTGGGAAACGTTGTCCTAGTATGTGCAATATCCAGTGGGAAGCTGCTCTGATCCTGCCTGGGAAGGATTCACTTTTAGTTCCATTTGTACGCTTACCAAAACCCTACTTCCAGTAGCCAGTTATTTCTCCCATCAGTGTAAGATGTGGTTAGCCAGCTATTTCACTCAGCAGTTTAAAATATAGCAATAGTCTGGTTTCAGGATTACAGATATTTTTCAGTACAAGTGAACATTTAGTTAGCTAAGTGAATCTGTCATATACAAGCATAATATCGTTTCTTCTCTTTGAATTTCAAGGAAAAATTGTGGATTTCTGGGTCTTCATATATTCCATTTGATTAATTGCTAGTACATGATGATATGATTTCCTGTGATCTTAGAGGAGATGTGACAACTGGGCTGCTTTGTCAACTAGTAATTTTTAAAATCAATTTGGATGTTTGCAAAGTAAATTCAAATAGCTTCTAAAACATTAATTTTTAAAATATTTTTTTCTTGTGCCTCCTATCAATAAGTAATGCCACTTAATTTATCTATGCTTTTAGATAATTTACAATGTCATGAACATGTAAAGATTATTTAATGAGGTTTTGTTGAAGACTGCAACTTATTTTTACTTAATGCACGTACTGTGACCATACAGTTGAAATTAAAATACAGCTAATATGATCATTCTTGATGTCCTTTAGGTAACCTAGTAAAAATCATCTCCTTTCATCATCAGAGTGAATGATTTTCATATTCTGTATGTCAGTGGAGGGGGATGTGTCACTTTGAGATTCCCTTATATTTTCCTACTTTGGTAGTTATGCTCAACTTTCAGGGAGAGCTGAATATATGCCATGGGAACAGAAGCTGTCAGCAGAAATCTGCATGTCATTTGGTGCCAGTTCTGGAAATAAGAAAAGAATTAAAATTCCTTTCCTCTGGAATGAAGCAATATTTTTAAAGACTGTATAAGTTAATAAGCAAAATGTGATGTTGAACCCAAATTTTCACTTCATAAATTAAATTAAACGCATTGCGTTTTTTAAGGGATTAAAGATCATCTTATCTTTGAGTATATGAATGTTGGCATTCTGATTTTGCTCATCCTTTTCCAGTGGTAAAGGTAAGAGACAAGAACTGTGCACAGGCTCTCCTTTATTATCCCGATCTGTCTCCTGGCATTTCTCTAGTATGAATTATGAAAAACCTAGACCTATTTCACTGCTTCTCTATGCACTTCCTTGTTCCATATTGAGGTGATCCGTGTTCTGCAGTTGTGTATACCTGCTTGTCAAAATTGTTCTTGTTACTTTGCTTTTACCATTTCTGAAACATGAAGCTGACAGCAATTATTTTGCCAGCATTCAGTAGGAAAGCTTTTAGCAAAAGGGAATTGCTAATTATAAGGTGTTTTAATTCAGAGAAAGAAGCTAAAATCCATGCACAGGAGACTGTTGGTAAGAATGCACATACCAAGACAACAAAATGGGTTCCCGCTGCTGTGGCAGATTGGGTTTCTTTCTGGGAAAGAAGCAGATTTCAGCCAAAGTGTACTTTTCCTTTTCACTGGTTTCTCCACAAGAAATTGTTTGATATTCTTTGCCAAATCACTTGAGACTAAAATATTTCTTTTTATTTTAAAAATTGTGTTTTCTTCTAAAAAATTGATTTTTTTTTTTTCTTTTCCACCTTCAGTTCAGAAAATAGTTCTATTTTCTGAATGCTGTAGTTGAAATGCTTCCACTCAGTGTCCTGGAGTACAACTGTTTGTACTTCAGACAAATGCTATTTCACATTCCTCAGGTGAGCTGTGTGACTGAGCACAGCCCTTCCCTTTGATTCCTTTCCTTCTAACAGCCCTGCCCATTTTCCTAACATGAGGCTGTTGTGCTGCCAGCAGGGAGGTACCTTTTACACCCTCTTGATCCTTTTTGGAGCAGGTACATCCTTTATGGAAGTGTAAAATACGAGGTTATAAGATGTTTTTCCATGATTTTCTGGACAATGGCATTAGTTTTAGGAGTTAAACCTCTGCTGCAGTGGTCAGTAGCGAGGCCACAGACAGTTTCCCCATGGTGACATTTCAGGCTGGGAGGCGATGGCACAGGCCTGCTGCTCTTCACTGTGGGCAGGTTCAGCAGTGCCTGCGTGCCCTGACTGTACCAATAATGACACATCTTGGGTTAGGAGGTGTGCTAATGGGCGTGGACTTTTGTAATGGGAAGGAGGATCAGCATTACTGGCAGAGTGAAATAATGGTAGCAGGAAACCCATGAGGGCTGGTGTTCCATAGCAGATCTTTGTTGGTTTCATCAGTCTGAATCTAGCTGTTTGTGCATCTTCCCAGTGTCGGCCCCTACAAAAGGAAGTCCGATGTTTGCTTTTATTATGAACATGGTGATGATAAAGCAAAGTCAAAATGGTGAATGTACAAATTTCAACCTGTAAATTGCTGCTGTGCATGCAGAGGTGGTGCTTAAGGCAGTTTCTGGGTGTTGAAATCATAAACCCCCTTGGTGTTGCTTGTTCCTGTAGGACCGTTAAGGTTTTCGAACGGATTGATATTGTGAGTTGTTAGATTCACAGCTGCGGGTGTGATCTTAAACAGCTTCCGTTGCCTAAATCCTGACAAAGATTGTGATTACCCCCTGCTATTTTTATAGGCATCTGGGTTTTGGTGGTTTGGGTTTTTTTCAAGAAGTTTTTGGCTTTGGCAAATAAGTTTGTATTTTATTCCTGTGTTTTTCAGTTCTCAGGGCAACCTTGGCCTCTGAAGTGCACCACTAGTCATATAAAGAAAAAGTTGTGTTGCTTATGGGTTTGGATGCTTCAATAATTGTGATGTGCTTGACTTAAGTTGAAAATTTGAGCGTTGTTTCTCTGTTGTTACTTTGCTTCTGTTCACAGATCAGTTAGAAAATTTATCTGTGAACATGGCAAGTCTGCAGGGGGGGAACAGTTTTATTTCTGCATTTGCCATAGCAATGCTGTGTGTGAGACTTGGTTACTTCTCTTCAACATCAGCTTTTCATTAAGATCTCCATTTAAATGTTGTCTTGAATTTGATTTCAAAAAATGATCTTGCAGCTCCCAGTGAAATAAGTTGGAGCAATATATATTCATCAAGTCAATTCTAGAAACTCTCATATTGCATGAATTCATGTTTACTTTTGAACTTAATTTCTTCAAATGTGATTGCCACTGGTTTATTTTCATAACAGTCCATTTTCCAATGATGCTGTAAGAAGAAGACTTGCTAAGCTATATAGAACAGCCTACAGAGAATTACTAAATCAGACTAATGTCTGAAAAAATTGCAGAGGATAAGACTGGAAGTTGCATATGAGCAATATGAGGTTTACTCAATGACTGAGTAGAGACTCACTGAGGTGCAACAGCCTGTTTCATTGTTTGGATAAGAAAGCATTGTAGCAGGAAAAAAACCCTTTGGTAGATATAAACTGTGTACTGTGATATACTTTATGTCCATGGAACAGACAGGTTAAGGTTTTCAGGCAACGCTTGATGTTGAACTCAGCTAGAGTTGGTAACTTTAGGACCTCTGTATTTTTTAAGTGTAAATGCTTTCATCAGTCTTAATTCAGGTGTTCTTATTTGAGTGCAATGCTGGTCTATATGTAGAGAGGATGTCACAAGACCTTACAGTACAATTAAGTACAAATATACAAAGAAAGTTATTAATAAGACTTTTGTTTTGTTGTGTTTTTCTTTTTTTTTACATAATGCAGAATGGGAGGAGAGGTTAAATACTTAATGATGTTAGTCATGACAGAGTTTGACTGACAAGTGATGAAATTGCTTCTATTTCCACTGACAGATAAGAGGTTTTTTGACAGCTCTGTGGAGTTTGTTCTTTGTTAATGTGACAACATTTCTAATGTAATTAAAATTATTTTTGAAGTGCTACATAGAAATTAATTTCAAAAGGAGCGGGAAGATACTAAGGTACTTAATATAATTTCTGCATATTCAATTGTGCTAAGAACCTGTTCAATTTATTTTAAGTTCTGTTACCAAGTAATTTGTGCATTTTTATGATAAAAAGGTGAATATGTGGTTCAACAGACTTATCAAAATTGCATTTTGGTCCATGGTTTTTTCTTTGCCATTCCCAGGAAATGAAAAATGTCAGGATCAGATCCAAAATTTATGCTGGTTACTGAATTTCTTGATTGTTTTTCTTTTTAAAATTCAGTAATTATAGAGTGCAAATATTGTACTGCAATAGCGTGAACTGTGCTTCCTTTGCTTTTGTTAGATACTGCATTCCTTTAAAAATGTTAATTAAGTGGGTATGTGCTGAAGTTAAAAGCTAGATCAGGAGATATGTAAAAAAGTATTTGGTCACAGTGACGTGCCTTAAAATACTAAAAATGGGAAAAAGAAGCAGTGTTTGAGGCAGTCACAGGTTTCTGTTAAAAGGGAACTGCTTGAAACTTGTCACACAACACTTTGATTTCTTTTACATTCTCACCTGTGTGTCCAAGCCAGAGTCCTTGGCCCTTGTGGAAAAGGGGAAGTGCTACAATGCGCTGCTCCTCATCTGCTGTGGACAGGCCAGAAATGCCATCTTTTAGGGGAGCAAAAATATCTTACAGTCTGTTCAGTGAACTTGCTGTAGTGCTGCATTTTTGGTTCAAGTTTACTGATGTACTCTCTACTTACTTACAGAGCTTCAGAAAATGCAGTACAACTTGAGTCTTGCAGAACATATAGCCTCCAATTTATAGTTTCTGAAATGAGATGCTGTTTTGACTCTCTCTATCACTTTCTCTATAAAAGACTGGCAGCTCTTCAGGATTCTTTCTGATATTTTTTTTTTTTTCCTACCCCTTAAGATCGTGCTGGAAGCATCAGTACTCTTGATTCTTTAGATTTTGCAAGATACTCTGATGATGGCAATAGAGAAACGGATGAAAGAGTAGCAGGTAAGTGTTCTATATGTTTTAGGAATCACAGAATGTTAATTTTACTGTTTAACTTGTTGTTTCTAGCATAAATATATTTAAATGAACATTTCTGAAGATGACAAGATTTCACTGAGGTGGTTAAACTAGTTGCTTGATGTTGGACACTTCTGCTGTAATTACTGTAAATATTCAGGCAGGTGTACTTGTGTATGATTCCGGATGTCACCAGTGCAGAAACACGCAGTATACTTGGAAATTGTGCCCAGCCTTTAACAATAGAACTGTATCCTGGTATTGCCTACTGACTACTGCTGTCAAGCTGAAACATTGACTAAATTACTCTGCACAGTGGTCTGCTACTACTTCGTGGATTAGATCTTTCTGATGTAAAGATCTGTTGCAAGTCATCTCTTAAGCATAGCTTTCATCAAGATCAAAAAAGCACTTCCAAACCTAGAGCAAATATGGGATTTACTCAGTTCCATAAATCTTCTTTGCTACAAGTCTTAATTGTAGTGCTTTTCTCTCCTATTTGATTCTTTGATTTTATAAGATTGGGGTGTTTGCCTTTTGTTCTAAGCCTTTGGCACTTTTAATTTCAGGATCTATTACATCACCAAAGGCAGGACCTTCTCTTATGTTAGAAATTATTTTTCTAACCACTTTTGCATGTGAGCCATGTTTCTCTGTCCAGGTTTTTTTTCCAAGTTCATATATTAAGTTATTCACAGCTTCCACAGAGAAACCCATAAAAGCTCTCTAGAAATGGCTACAGAGCTCTGTTTACTTGTTGTCAGTTCGTAGTGTTCAATGTCCTGAGCTCATGGAAGTTGTCCATGCTGTGACTTCTGCTCACATGGTTAAGCTTTATGAAACCTGAGGTGATGCAAGCTGCCATGTCTCTCTTCCATCCTGTTGTCTCTGCTCTGAATCACCAAGCAACAAAAAGGCTGACGAAACATAGTTCTGTAAAGGATCTTCATTTGGAAATTTCATCTCTGGATCAGTCTGAAATGGTGGGAAAAATCTCATTTTTCTTACCTGGCCAGTGCTGCTGAGTTTAAGGACTGGATCAAATTCACAAACACAAAGCAAATCCAGGTATTTTGGTGTTCTGGTCTAGAAATCTACGAACTTACTGTTCATCACTTTATATGGAAACTTCCAGATTCTTATTATTATTTAGCTACTCTCTTTTTCGACATACGTAGTCCTTTTTAAGGAGGCAATAGTTGTAAATAGAAAACTAATCTTCTAAACAAATTGTGTTTAAGGTACCCAGGCCTTTGTGAATTGGGTCCTGGAGTGCAAGGAAGAAACAAGCAAAATCCCAATATTTTATTTATTGTTATTATTGTAGTAGATTTTTCCTGGTTCTAGTCAGTATTTCTTGGCAATAGTGTTACTGAGAGAGCTAGTTTGAGTCTTGCTTGGAGCTGTCCTTAGAATTGGATTAGAGATGATTATAGAAAATATAGACCAGTCAGAATTGGCATCCAGTAGAGCCAGTAATCTTCTGACAAAACATTAGTAACAAAATATTGATTACTTCCAGTACGAAATTAATATAGCCTAAAATTAAGTATTAAGTTTAAATAAATAGTAAAATTTATCAATATTTTTGATAATTACTACATAGTGGTTGACTGCTGTCATATGTAATTGATGGGGAAATTGTATGTCAGAATCTTTACAGTTCTGTGTTCCTTTAGAGATGTTTTTCAAAGAGTTCTTAAAAAATAACTGAAGAACTTGAACAAAGTAAGTCTGAACGTTATTTCTGGATGTTTTTAAAGACTGGAAATTTTCAAAAATATTTTGTTCCTACTTAAAATTCTGGTTAGCCATATTTGCTTAAAATATTTTGCCTCAATCATGTTTAAAGCTATCTTCTTGAGCAATTTCAAAAATTGATAAGTATTTATTTTGCACATTAAAAAATTATGTCAACAGAGGTTTCAAAAATTTTGCAAATCCAGTTCCTTCTTTAAACAAACTCTGCCTTATAACTCTTGCTTTTGAAGTTGTTCTTAGCTGCAAATGCACTTTGAAACCTAACTGGAAGTCCATTTTGCCTATTTCTTCTAAAATTCTTTATTTTCTGTTAAGAGCTTTGATGCTTAGGAGATTAAAATTGTAATCTGTTGCGAAAGCTTGGGGCCATGATCTAATAGTCGTATTTTTCTTCTGATAGTTCTGAAGATGGGGTTTGAATAATTTCTCTTTGTAAATGCCTTTCTTATGCTCCTATCTTTGTTTTTTGCTGTTTGGACAGAGCACATGATTTCCATATCAGTTTCCTGTCGTATCAAATGAAAGATAGGACATAAATGCACATCAGTCGCTAAATGAAACTGCTAAACTGGTTCTGAGTCAGAAGGAGTTTAAAACTGAACTTATAACAAACCCACTTGACAAATACTTTTGTGTCTTAGCTGTTAGAAAGCCTCAAATCAAAAAATGCATGCATATATCATCATCTAAAGCCACCACACCATATTCGGTTTGGTATAGAGTAGTGGTAGACTAAGCTGCCTTTTTTTTTTTGCTTAACAGTCCAAAAATTCCTGGAAACAATGTATCAGCTCTTGTTTGAAATTGATTTCAGTATTTAAAAGCTATTAGCCCACTTCATTCCATCTGGAATTAGAATCAAAATTTGGCCTATAAACAAACATGTTTTGAGGAGTTGCTGTGAGCTTTTCACTTGGGAAATCTGCTGGAAGGAATCTAAGTGAGTCCCTTCTATAATATTATCTACTTGACTGAAAAGATGCAAGTCATAGAAGACAGTATGTGGATAATTATGACAAAACTAACTAATGCAATTTAGAAAACATAGATTTTCTTCTTTATCTACCTGATCGTAATGAAAATAAGAGTTGTGTAACAATTTGGATGATACATTTGTAATCCACTAAAACGAAAAAAAAAAACCAAAATGCATCCTTAGAGCTTGCAATTTACTAGATGGAAACAACTTGTTCTCTAAGACTGGTAACTTTTGAATCCAAAGTCATGTGTTGAGTGCTTGAAATAATTGCTCCTAGGTTAGACTCAGTACTGAAGGATTTGTTAGGGGTAATAGACCTCCTCCAAATACTCATTTCCAGAAAGCAGCTAGAGACTGGAAAACCTGCTCCCTTTCTGTGTAATAAGGGTACACCTAACTTGAATACCCACAGGATTTGTTTAAAATAGGTTGCCTGACATTCAGTCTAAGGAACTGAATCTTCTGCCGCATCTTAAATTTGCCATGTTCTAAACCCCCTGCTTTGCATAATTCAAAATGTTTATTATTGCTAACCTGCCTTTGACATCAACTGTTTGAGAATCTAATAATTTTAAAAAGACATGCTGTGTTTTCAAAGATGATAAAATTAATCCTTATAATCAAACTCCATTTCAATAATATGTATTCTCAGATTTCCCTGTATTTGCATTGATTTCTAGCTAGTCTGTGTGTCTCTGATTAGAAGAATAAGATTTGAAAGGAAGTTCAAAAAACACTTATTTTTGAGAATTTCATTTACCTAGACTCAGATTCACAGTTTCTGCTTTTTACAGAGCCTTTTTTTTGTGTTTTTTTTATTAGGCACTATTAAATTGTGCACACCAAAATCAGAGGAAAATCTTTCAAAAATCAAACAAAACTTCAAAACAGAGAACAACAGGCATCTGTAGTGCGACAATAACTTGCTAACATTGTGCGTGTACTTTGTTCATTCTGAAAGCAGATCTGGTTTTGTCTTCCCGTTACCTGTCTTAAGCCTGTGAAGAAGTTGTAAGCCTCTTAACTTTCCTTCCAGGCTGAAGGTCTCCAAGGGCTGAAGCTGAAGACAGGTCTGCTGTAGTTCAGGTCTTCCCTGTAGGTGGTCCTGGCTCATTAACTTCAAAGCATTAATGAGGCTGCTGAGTCAAGCATTGGCCTCCCACTATTAGAGTGACAAGTTCTCTGTTACTTGCTCATGAACCCTCCTGCTGGGCTTTGGTTTTGTACTGTGGTAGTCATGTCTTTTGCTGAAGTACAGCTTTCTGATTTGGGGCTATTTGTGTTATGTGCTGAAGTGTTTCACATTTCAAGGCTGCTTTTTTTCTTAATACTTCCATCAGGCAAGTAGGAGTTGGGAAACCTCAGGTCCTGAAGTATCTTTGGGACAGTGGCTTCATTGCTAGCTGTTGTCAGAGAATTTAAAGTTCTTCTGAATTGATTCAAAGTGTGTGTACAGATTCATCAAATTTAATGGGATGTCATACATGTTTTAGAGGGCATGATTTAGGACATCTGGAGTTCTGCATTTACTTGGCAAGGAGGAAGGACTCAAAATGGCAGTTAAGGAACCACAGAGCTTGTAACAGTATGAAAGTGAGGAAAGCTGGGTAAGCACAGGGGCCCTTGATACTCCAGAGGAAAACTACTTTTTTGAAAGAAAATGTCCAAATGCCATATAGTGGCTTCAGAACACAAAACTACCCTTCTACCATTATCTGAGGTACTGGGTACTTCATAGGGAAGTATGCAAAAATCTGACAAGGTATTCTAAATGTAGATTACATAATTCTAATGTAATTGGAAATACTGCTGCTTACACAACACAAATGCTGGATGATTTTAGAAATACTGTTTATTTCCTCAACTTTTTGGCTTGGCTCAATAAGACTGCTGTTCATGTAGATCTCAGCTAATTCAATCCCAGTTGCAGGTGGTTCTTTGTAGGTATTTAAGATCCAATAACTTGTGAAGTCATTAAGAAATATGAGTCAATAGAATATGACCTTTGAGAAAGCTTAATTTGGAAATTTCAAAGCTCAGCAGACAAGTTACTCATTCCTGATATGCACTTCTCTTTTAAGGTGCATTAGATTAGCTGCATGAAAACTGAAACATTTAAAAATTTCTGATCTGAAAACCTTGGTCTAATGCATCATTGCTTGCTTGAAAGATTCACTCATTTTAAGTTAGGTTTTGTAATTTTTTTCAGGATAGCAGCTGTAGTGATTGGAAACTTCTAATAACGAAAAAGCCATTTAAAAGCCATCGCTTTTAATAAAAAGAGCCATTGAAATTTGGATCATTTTCTCCCCTAAGGCAAACTAAATTGTTCAGAAATGCCCTTTCCTTGTAGCATGATTACCCAATCTCAAGGCTCTAAGTTTCTCTTCTCTACTTTCCTGGTGCAGAGGAATATCTGATTCTTTCCTTTCTTAGTCTGTCTGCAGCAAAACTTTTGGACATTATTCTTAAGGAGTGTCAGCTCCTTCACCAGTTGCTGGGAGTTGTACATATTATCAGCCTAGTCAAGCATGAAGCTAAGCTTTAGCTTGGCTTTATCGACGCTTCTGAAAGCGTAGCTTGAGCTTTGTAAGAGGAGAGGGGGAGAGGCATCAGGTCATTCATGTTAAAAGTCAATAGTTCATAATGGTTACAAATAAAGGGGTTAAAGAGTTGCCTTTTTATGCAAGAGAATGCTGTAGAATCAGCAAATGGGGATTACTAATGTTGATTTCATTGGTAAACATGTTGAATTAAATTGAATTAAAAATCATTACGTGTTTTGGCAGAAGATCACATTTCAGTATAACTTAAAGAGCTTTTAATCACCGTTTAACATTTGACTGAAGTTAATGCTATAGCTATTTACATGTGTAATTGTATAAACACCTATAAACGTCTTCAAATAAAAGCTACCTTTCTGACTGACTTGAAAGCATCAAGGTTTGTATGGTGACAATGATCATGGTGCCATTAGTAAGATTAGATCAAGTACATCTGTAACAATGCTGTGTTGTGGTGGGATTATGTGGCTGTTTTGACATACTGCCAAGTGACAGCTTCTCAAATATACTATGTCTAGAATCTTCTACTGTGTAACAGAAACATGCAGCAGAGTAATCTACTTTTAAGGTTGACTGGGTAAAGTCCTAATGACTTCTAAGAATTGTCAACATCGTCACAGTTCACTAAAATCAATTCTTGCCGTCTGACATGGGTTTGTCTGACATGAGTTTTTTGGCTTTCTATGCCTTCAGACATGTCTTATTCCTATTTTCCTTAATTGGATTCCTGAGTTTTTATAGTTTGCATTGTTTTTCTAACTTTTTTTATTATTTATATCATTCTAGTTCAGGGCACTCCTGATCTGCAACTGTTCTGGTCTTCTAAAATATTTTACAAGAGTAAAATGTTAACACATAGTCGTTTCCGTAAGAAAAATTGCTTAATTTGAGTTCTTTAAAATTTTCAAAAAGTAACAAATCAGTATCTTACAACTGTGAATAAGTAACTCAAATGCAAGGAAGTGCTAAAATTAGGTACTTACTTCATGATGAGAGTGTTTTCTAACTTTGTTGCACAGAAGTATTTGCAGATCAGCATTGCTGAATACTAGAGAGATTTTACATATTTTATTCATTGTATCCTCAGTTGCGCTTCTGTATTGCTGCAGTAAAATTCTGTGCATCAAACAAGTTACTTTCATGTAGCAAATGTGGTGTACTGTAGTAACTCCTTCAGTTTCTATGCAGAACTGCAAACTGAGTGAATTTTTTTTCCATGAGTGCTAATTACCACGAGTCTTAGATAGAGATGCTCAAAAGAGGAACTGGTTTTATTTGCAGCCTTCAGTAACATTTTTTACCAGCAAGGTCCAATGCAGTGTTTCTGCTGTGCATTGTATTCTGTGTAAATGTTGGCAAATGCCATGTTAAATTGTTTCCAGGCAGTGACTAAAGATCTCATTGAAACTTTCTTGTTAAAAGTCACTACGGCATTTTTCCTTTTGTTTGGGAATAAAGTAGATATTAAACTATTCTAAACAGGTCGTCTAACACTTGAGCATAGTAGGTGTTCAGTGCTCATCTCTACTAGTTAAGGGTCCTTCCTTCTGGTAACTGTATATTTCAATGTGATTAGATTAATCTGAAAATTAGTGAAATGCATGTATTTATCTGGTCATCTCTTAAATAGGTTTCCTTAGATGTTCTACATGTAAATGACTATTAAAAGAACATTTGCTATATGTTTTGCAAAGGTCCAGGGAGTTGAAATTTGAGGCCACCATATACATATGACCTCAGCATCAAAACACATGAAATCCCAGTGCACACAAATCACCACTGGCCCTTTTTGAAGGAAACATTGGAACATGAGAAACAAATAAGAGTGACTAGGGGAGTGGAAAGGTGAATTAAGAGAGAGTAGAGAGCTAGAATTAAGTATTTTTGAATTTAAAGCTGACTCTAGGTCTTTGAAAGTCAATGTAAACTTTCAGGAATAATGGTGCAAAGACTTTTTTCCTTTCAAGCCTTTTTATAAGTACTGCAGAAGAGCTGCATTTTTTGGGTGTTTTTGTTCTTGTGCATCTTTCTTCATTTGAATTCAGTGAACTGAATTCAAAATCCTAATCAAATATAGGGCATTCCTAAAACTTCACTATTTTAAAATAGAAATTTAAAATTACTTTTTTCTTTTTTAGTAAGATAAAGTACATTTCAAGATCTCCCATTTAAACTACTAAAATTTTGGCGTATGATTTTATTTTCTAAAAAAAGTCTGTGGTGTCAATGGGACTGTACATTCACTTCATGATTTAAGCTTTGCTACATGGAGACAGCTTCCTCTGCTGCCACAACATACTTGTTTCATTTAGATCTGTGTTCTTATTGCCCACATACTCCTCTTGCTCCCAATAAACCAAAACATGAGCATTTGACAGCATCAGTTCCCAAATACTTTCCCAAAACCTTACAGCGAGTCCTTGTCAGACAGCTTGAAATTTTGACTTAGCTAAGCTAAGGCCAGTGAAACTATGGAAAATGTTCACCAGTTTGCTTTCAGACCAACTCTGCTGCATGTGTTCATGAGTTCCATAAAGATTGCATGCTTTACGTTTAATACAAACGGTATCTTTTTTTTCACACCCATCCTTGCTTTTTATATTTTATTTTTGTTTCCCTTGCCTTGGTTGGATGCCTGTGTGTGTTTAATCCAAATCCCTGTCCAGTCCTGGAGTTTGAACTACGGAAAGCCAAGGAGACCATACAGGCCCTTCGAGCCAACCTGACTCAGGCTGCAGGTGGTGTACATAAACCTTTTCTTAAGTCTCTACTTTAAACAATGTAGAAGTAGCTGAGCTCATCCTGTGTGAGAGAGTAAAATTTAGTTACTTCTTTTTTCCTCCCCAGAAAATGAAGTTCCTTTGCAGGAACGAAAAAATTATAAATCAAGTCCTGAAATTCAGGTAGGTGGCTGGTGATAAATGAACTTTGCATGGATTTTAGTATGAATATGCTTCCATAGTTGGAAGGGAGATAAACCAAAGATCTAGTGTGTTTACTTTTTTTTTTTTTTCCAGGAGCCAATTAGACCTCTTGAGAAAAGAGCTCTAAACTTCCTAGTTAATGAATTTTTATTGAAGAATAGTTACAAACTTACATCAATAACATTTTCAGATGAAAATCATGATCAGGTAAAGTTTCTTTGTGGGTTTGTTTGGGGTTTTTTGCACGCCTGCTTTCCATATTCTGATCTTGTCATAAAGTCAAGTAAACTTAAGGGATTTTTTGTGTGCATGTAGTTTGCTTCATATATATGAGTACTCTAAAAGTTAAATATGTTAGTTAGCATTTTCTTATATAAACCGTGGTTTGAAAACAAAGCAGTTTGAGCAGTAGTTTCCCAAAATTTGTAAGAAGGAGAGACAGAGTGCTTGCATTCTTTAAAGGAAGCAAAACAAGAAGTGAAACACTGTGAGTTAGATATTTCCTTGTGTTCTGGTGTGACACGCATTCAGTTGAACTCAAGGATCTGGATCTCAAACATAGTCTTTTCCTTAGATCCTAATCAGTTGACTTGTGCAGGATATGCAGTTTACTCATTGGTTGTCTTCTGGGGATGTGTATGTGTGTGTGTGAGAGTACTTAGTCACCTGTGGCATTGAGTACAGTATTGAATAAGCTCTTGGTAATAAGGTGTTATCCTGGCTCTTTCCCAACATAGGTATGCTTTGATGCATTTTTCTTAAGGTGATGAGTTTTATATCTGTTGGCTTACATTTGATGGGAAGAATATCTTGGGAAGAATGTTTGGAAGGTTCTAATTACAATCTGACTGTTTCTGGGTAGACAAAACACCCAGTAATACCAATACCCAATATGTATTCATCACAAAATGGGAATATTACCAGATTAAATACAGAATTTCATTCAGTTTTATCTGAAACTGGTCCTCCTGTACTTTTCCTACATTTCATATCCCAATCTGTGAAGCAAATATGTTGTTAAATAGAATTTCTGAATCTTCCACCTCCACTGAATATTTGCACTTAACATCCAAATACTTGTGAGAATACAGTCCCCAAAAAAGAAAAGTTTAACAATTTATCTTGTTTGTGTTCTCAACTGAGAATGTTTTGTGTTGTGAGACTATTAACAAAAAAGAGCAAAATTCTTTATTCTAAAAGGTAGCATACTGCAATTAATATATAGTAGGCACATTTTTTTTCTACATTATTCGCATAATTCTTTGAGAAAATATTCTTTCTTCAAAGAAATACATGTGACCAGACTATGGAAAAAATATAGTGAAGATTGGGAACAATAGGAAAAAAGTTTATACCAATACTTAAACTTAATGTCATTAAAGAGACCATCACAACTCCTGTGTAACAGTGCACAAACTTGCTTGTATATACAGACATGGAATATTGTTGTACTAATAGGACGATAAGGTATAAATGAGAAAAGCAAGAATATAGAGTGATGGTTTAATACAGGAGACCCTTGTATTGTTTGCACCTCACTATCAGTCTTCTACAGACCTGTTTAAGCTGGTTTAAGATATTAGACATTAGGAGGAAATTCTTCATGGAGGTGTTAAACGTTGGAACAGACTGCCCAGAGAGGTGGTGGAGTCACTGTCCCTGGAGGTGTTCAAGAAATGACTGGATGTTGCACTTAGTGCTTGGTCTTATTTACATGCGGATGATCAGTCAAAGGTTGGACTTGATCTCAGAGACCTTGTCCAACCTAAATGATTCTGTGATACTGTGCCTGTCTTCCCTAGGGAAATTGCACCTGCACTTGTGAGTGAAATGGGAACAAAACCAATATTTCTGCCTTGTATCAAGTGCATTGGCTTCTGCTAGAATTTGAGCAATGTTATTTCTGATTCTAAAAAGTGTTCATGTCTTAGCAAAAAAAAAGAAAAGTAACCTATGTGGTTTGGAAGGTACTCTCTCTACTATGTTACCTAGAGCTGCCTTTGTGGTCAAACTGCTTTGGTTCCCAAAGTGGATCCTTCCTCTACTATTGTTTCTTGCTGAGTTAAGCTTCCATTTGATTTACTACAATGCAGTCTTGATGTGATTATTTTGCTATTGCATCACCTGTGGTCAAATGAGGAAGAGACAAGAAAATAAAAGGAAGCATATTGTATGCCTTAGTTTCTTTTATTCTTTTGAAGGATTTTGAACTTTGGGATGATGTAGGATTGAACATTCCAAAGCCTCCTGACCTGTTACAACTCTACCGTGACTTTGGAAACCATCATGTTGCTGCAAGAGATGTGGTGGATGCATCAGTTGGTGTAGAAGATGATGAGTTAGAGGCTGACACTCCTATACTTGGGACCGTCCCTGTGTTTGAAACAGCACCACCGTCAATAGAAGTAAGACTGTACAGAAGAGATGTTACAGGTGTTTGATGTACTGCTTAACTTGATTGTACTAAACTCTTCTGTTTCTGTCTTGTGTTTAGCAATGTTTAATAGTGCAAAAATTAGAAGATCAAATTAGTGTGTTAAACAGTGAGAAATGGTCTTTGATGGAGCAAATCCAAAGACTTGAAAGGTATGTTCTTATCAACCTATTTGACTCTTGATAAACGTTGGATAACTTTTCATTGTTTTTCTGACACATATATGGAACCATAACTTAGATACAGGAAATGACTGGGAATTCTTCAGGGCAGGGCAGTCTTTCATTTTCAATACATAGTATTTGATTTAGAAAAAGGAGGCAACTTCAAATTGACTATTTCCCGTTATTGCCCATACAATTTAATTTTGTAACTTCTTTAGTTCTTTGAAAACAATCGCTTCTGATATGCTTTACACAGGTTTTTTTTCAATTAGCTCTATGTCACGCCTTAGTGTGTACAGCTTGCAAACACTGTCAGAAAGATGCTTGTTTTAACATCTGATGTCAACACAGTTTTTCTTTCTGAAGAGCAAGACCAGTATATGTGACTGTATCTTTAATAACAGCAAAAAAAAGATAGGTAAAAGTTTGGTCAAAACATGTCATTCTGTAAGCCATAAGGTATCATTGCTCTTAAGAGGTGTACTAATGCAGTGTGTGGGGAAATGCATAAATTTTAAGTGGCTTTATTGACTTGCATAATTACCATTTCAAAGCCAGATAGGACAGTACACCACTCTAGTATTTTATGTTTTGCATGCTGGGTAGTGTTCTGTCTTGTGATAATTTGTGTTTCAGTGCTCAGATTTCAGCCAGAAGGAGATAAAACTGTTATTACTTGTTTTGTTGATTCACTCACTCAGAATGCAACATTTTTCCTGCTACTAATTATTTACTGAAGTGCTCAATGAAACTAGTGCTTATTTGAACAGTTTGTGTGATCAAAGTCATTTCTGTTATAGGGATTCTTAAACATACATGAATTGAAGAGTATGTTGAGCTCTTCAGCATGTTGTCTTTATTTCTGTGCTGCAGTGATATGATTTGAGCAACATTTGCATGAAAGCTAGTAAAATATTTCATATTTGCTTTTTCAGTGAAATAGATCTTCTCAAGAATGAAAACTTTTCTGTGTCAACTGTTTATGGTGTAGCTCCTCATCCTTCTTTAAAACAAGTGCCTCTCACAGTCTCAGAGGACAATGGACGGTACTTGGATATCCAGAGCTCTGAGAATGACAGTAAACATGGCAACATTGAGGAAACAAGCCTTGCTTTATCAGCTGAAGTGGATTCAAGGACTTCTAAAGATGATATGCTAAATTCTGTGCCCTCTAAAGAGACAGAGAAACTGTCCTCGTGTCCTCCATCATCTAAAGCTGCAGTCCACTTTGACAAACCTAATAGGTTAGTGATAAGTTGTAAACTGCATGGTATTATTAAAAATTCTTGTAAAGTGAGTAGATAATTTTCTAACAGTGAAATTCTGCCAAATGAATAGAACATTTGTGTTTTGAAGGCAAATAAAAGACCTAACATACCTGTAGGGTACAGTGCTGATATTTTTATGTTGTTCCTAATCTCTTTAGGAAGGAGTACATATGACAAACCTACAGTTTTAGTTTTAAGTTTCAGAAATTCTTTTCACTTTCTACTTGTTTCTAAACCCAGCCCTGTTAGTTGCAACAAAACAATAGGTAAAATCAGAATAGTGAATGGGAAGACAAAAGAGTTCTGTTTTCTTTTAAATTTTAATTTAATGATTCTCTTCTGCTTGAAGAGTTGTTGGGAAAAATTTTTGCTTTTTCTGTGTAGATGTGTATAACTCTCCTAGAGAGCAGTACTATTTTTCATTTACTTATTTTGTAATTATCAGAAAGGTATCTAATGGCATATTGCTTTTTTGAGTTTTGATTTTGGGGCAAGCCTTCACTGGGTAGCTATGATTCTTCTAACTAAATCAGGGTATTTGTGTTGTGTTATTACTTGGAGACTGAGTTTGTGCTTGTAAGTGTTCTTGAGAAAGGCCTTTCAACTGTACAAGTGTTTTTATAGTGAAAAGGAGAAGTGATTTGTTCATTAAGTGATAGATAAACCACTGTAGTCATCAGGAGTAACACAGACCACAAACATAATGAGAGTATGTACAACTTGTAATTGTTACCACTGTGGACAAAGATATGCAAGTAGCTCACCTTATGATCTTACTGTTGCTGTTTGTAGGGAAGCAGGCATCCATCCTGCTTTGTCTTTTGTCCCTTAGCGAGCTTTTGCTGATGTTGATACTGTAATTTGTTTCTAGAATTATCTTTCCATCTGAAAATACCAAGTAGAAATCCGTGTGACATTCTGTGCAGATAGAAAAATAAATGCAAGCTTGTAGTGGAGGGGAGGTAGGAGCACCCAAAAATAAAAAGAGTTGCTAACCTGCTAGTAATTACCTTTTTTTTTTCTTGCAAACCCTAACAATCCTGGTTTCTCTGGGTTTTCTGTACTTCTTGCACTAACTTCCAGGGTCAGGGCTACTTTTTCAGTGATACCTTAATTTTTAGAATTGGACAGGAGGAAAGATTTCTGATTGGTGAATATAATACTTTGGAGTCTCATAACAAATTTCTTCTCTCTTAGTTGACTATACTAGTGTTTAACAGGAAAGTAGAACAGCTTAGATTTTTCTGGAAGGTGGTCAGTGATTCAGTTTAAGCTTTCCAGATTTTTTTCTTTTTATGTTTCTTTCATATCCTGGCTAAAAATCCAGACTATGTAGTAATCAAAACTTTGAGCTGTTGCTATATAGTTGTCTACCTACTTTCATTTGGCTTGTTGCAAGTTTCTTCTTGCTCAGATTAATGGTGAGTGCTGGGTGACATTAAGGGCATGAATATTACATTGATGTTATAGGGATAGTGAGGGTGTATATCAAAATAGGATTAAATCACTGAGTGAGGAATGAACTGCGTATTTCTAGTGGAATTTATGACAGTAGAAACTAGAAGAACATCGTTTGTTCTGCTGATCATAGTTTTAACTATAAATGCACATAGATTTATTTGAAAAGAAGTTGAATGAAGTTGTGAATCGCCACTGAGTTAAATGCACAAGTCCCCTCAAATGCAGTTCACTGCAGAAATAAAAAATGCATGTGTAATATGTAGCTGTTTTTGTACTCTGCTTTGGGCTTAGTATGTCAGCCAAGGGTCGAAGGAAAGCATGTTTGATGCAGTGTTTTACAGACCAGTATCTAGTACTAAATTTTCTTCCTGGATTATGCCCTAGGTTTGTAATAATGCAGTATTTTTTTCACTGAGGAAATAAATTATTTGTTAAATGTTTTGAGATCTGCAGGAGAAGCAGCACAATGGAAATGCTGGATATTTATTGATTTCAATCCACGTTTATTTATAGAAGACAATTACTGTCATTTATTCAGAGTGTACTAAGAAGGGTTAACAACTAAGACTCTATCCTAAAAGGCAAGATCATTACTACTGTATCTGTGGAGTGTTTTCTTGGCATAAATCTTGCCCAGATGGGAAGAGAGAAGGGGAAGTGAGCCTGCCTTGTGTGACTGCACTCAGAGCAGCTGTGCGTGCATGCTGGCAAATGAGGACATGACCATCATTGGAAAAATGCCTCCGTTAACAGATGGCAGTGCAAAGCACTAGCAGTGGTTTAAATAGACTGCACCACATGTGTTTATTCAACTAATTTGAGGTGTGTGGTAATTTGCACCAAATACAGGGTGTTTCTGTATATAGCAATCCTGGGTTTTTGAATTAATTGAGTCTTTTGTCTCAGAGTTTTATAGGATAGAATAGTAGGGCCTGGGCTTTTCATTCATTGTTCTTTCTTCTGTTCGGACGTCTTCACTGCTGGCATCTGTTGGCCCTTGAAGACACTTGCCACTGACATGTGTGCAAAAGGCCTTTGTCTTTTATTGTTTTTGTCCAGCATAGCCATCAAGGATTTGGTTAGACTTCATTAAAGAGAAGCTTTCTGGACTGCAAGTATAGCCAGCAATTTTAAGAGGATCCACACTGCCCAGAGCTTGCTGTTATTTAACCCACAGGGAGATTCAGTGACATATTGTCATACTTACTTTTCATTCTCTGCAAAGTGGGAATGGAACTTTGCCCTTGTGTAGTATTTTAATTAGTATTCCAAGTGGGAAAGGATCTGATTTTGAATGAATGCCAGGTTGAAGGACAGCCTGGGCAAAGGGCTGGCCAGGGCCTTGCCTCTGTGTCAATCTTAAGCTGCTGCTTTGCAGTGCTTGCTTATGTTCTCCCAATGTAAAAAACTCTGCAGTCTTGAGTATAGCCTGTAAATCTGTCACTCAAGAATATTTTACAGCATAAGGACTAACATATTGTGAAAGAGGTCTTTTACAACCAGCTACTGTTTAAGTAGTTTAGCAACTTTTTTTTAAGTGAAACTTTCACAATTGCACAAAACCAAGCTGAATAGAATTAAAACAAGCTTCCTTCATTAAAATTTAAAATGTACTTCAAGAATCTGTACTGTTAAGAAAAAAAACTATTTTAAGCAATTATTAAAAAATCTTGTTTATCATAATTTTCTAAATAGTGAGAAGAGAAAAACTGGTATATTTATTGATGTCCTCTTGAATTAGTTTAAGTAATTATAAGTAAGAGATTTGATTCTTAATGGGCTTTTTCAGTTAGAAAAGGATGAATGATGTCGTATTCACTGTAAGAAGTATTATGTTTCAATCTATTAGATAAAATGTGTGTCCATGCACATAATTGTTTGTGTGTTGGGTTTTGTGTGCTTGGGTGTATTTTTGAGGGTTCAAAGGTGTTACCAATTTCCACATAAAAAATAGGAGTTGCCTCCTCTCAGTGTCATTAGAGAACTGAAACAGCAGATGATGGAAATGGGTGAGATGCTTTCTGTGCATATTTTGGAAGGCAAATGTTGTCTTTCTTCTTTAATAGTGGATGAAGCAGTGTTAGATTAGCATCTAAGTACAAGGCCTCAGATAAGGCAGAGGAAGTTGTCATTCCTGGGAAAAATAGGGTGCTGCTGCTTGCCTGTTTAATGTAGTGGTCAGTAATTGTTTTCTGAGAACATTTCTGCCAAATTACCCTCTTCAGACACAGCTGTTTTGAAGCTTTTATCAGGGTTTGATATGGATGCTTAAGGCTTTGAGTAGCTCGGCTGCATAGGCTGGTGCTGGATGAGGCCATGAGGCAGTGCTTGTGCAGATGCACCCTGTATGAGGGCTTAGACAGCAGTTTAAGATTGATTTTGAGGTTCTGGCAGCATTTGAATCCAAAGTTAGATCCCAAAGTGGCAGTTGAGCAAACTCTGTTCAACCCTGAAGCTCATAACTTGACTGACTACTGAAACGCTTTTATGCAATTTGCAGAATCAGAGCATTAAGCAAAAATTTTGTTCCATGTGATTTCTGTGCCCGCCCCACCCCGTTTGCATAATTGTATGCTTCCTCTTGTATTGCCTAAACTTCCTTTTCTTCATGCTTTAGTCCTATTTTTGTCTGTGCAGCAGTTTGAAAGATGTTTTATTTTTTGGAACTAAAACTAACTTCTTAATTAGGATACTCAGGGTTTTTTGTTGCTACAAACTAAACACCCTAAAAGCCAAAGATAATTTTAAAACTTCTGTAGTATGAATCACTTAGACATTCTTTCTGGTTGTCATGTTACCTAGCTGATTAAACCAGAGTGAAAGGACTCGCTTTATCACCTTTCTGATTTATGTTTTCTTCCCCCTCTCCCTTTTTGATGATATTTCAGGAAATTGTCACCAGCTTTCCATCAAGCACTACTGTCTTTTTGTCGGATGTCAGCAGACAGCCGTTTGGGATCAGAGGTATATTTCCAGTTGGCATAAACTAAAATTTCCTTCATTTTGCATGGCAGCAATAGTTAAACAAGCAATAATTGCTTTTAAACAAGACATGGAAAGATGAATCTATGTGCATGAAAGTTAAGAAATAAAGATAGGTTCTCAGATTTTATGCTAAATATGAAACCTAGTGATAGAGGTATAATTACTGGGAACTTTTGAGTCTCTACAAGTGGATTCATGCTTTTGAAAGTACTGACACATCAAAAACAGCTTAATGTATGGAAATAAATACTTTTCTGGTAAGTGATCAGTCTACTGCAATTCTTATTATTCCTTTCAAATGGTGTTTTTCTGTTCCTGTGCTTCTAAAAAAAGCAAACAAGCAACTTGGTTTTCTAGGTATCTCGGATTGCAGACAGTGAGAAAAGCGTCATGTTAATGTTGGGACGCTGCCTGCCTCATATTGTTCCTAATGTGCTGCTTGCGAAACGAGAGGTGAGGAACCCTGAAATTTACGTTTTATTTTCATCAGGATATTTTGTTGTCCATTTTGAAGATGATGTGTCTAATTTCATGAAAGTCTATTACTTGCAATCATGTTCTTACTTTTGTGCATGCATCTCTGCTCCTAGAAAATGGTTTTACACCTCTGTCAGGTGAGTTCAGTAAACCTGCATGGTATCCTAATATTCCTTCCTCTGCTTAAGGCACCCATTAGCATTCAGCAAGACTGTTACTGTAGGTCCATCTGTTTGTGGTAGCACAAATGTTTTTGTAAGGGAAGACCATATCCATGTGCATTGTAAAAACAGGGTCTGTAAGTTCAAACATTGTTTCATTTATTTCGTCTACCAGTTTAAATAAGGAATAATGTTCAGATTCTTTTGCAGCACTACGTACTTAAACAAAAATAATTTTCAACAAACAAATTATTTTAATATCTTTTCTTGGAAGCTCCATGTATCAGCCAAGTGAAGGTTCATCAAAAATACCCCTTTATGAGAAAATGAGCACTCATTTCCTTAACTTTAATATAAGAATGACTAAAAATTATGAAGATGTAATGTATATTTTAAATGTAACTGAAGGTGATGGTTTGCATAATAATTCATGCTATATAGCGTACAAAAGGAAGGAAAAAAATGTGACTGGTTTTGTTTTGCTTTGTGTAAATATTGCACATTACCAAATATGTAAAGAAAACTCTAAAAACTGAAGAGATATGAAGCAAAAATTCAGTGTCCTTATGGTTGACACTGAAATTAAGGGTTTGAAGTAGCATATCTCATTGAGCAAGTTTTAGTCCTTGTTGACAGGACCTACAGTATGATAGACTTAGTCGTGTGTTTTGCATAAATTAATTTTAAGGCTTTGAAAATTCCTCAAGAAATTTGTACTGATCCTGTAATCTAAAATTTTTCTACCATACAAGTAATTATCAGCAGCTGACATGGTGAACTTGAGATGCGTACTGTGTTTTGAAAATTCATAAAAGGCTTTCAATTTTTGAGGGGGTTGGGGGTGTTAACTGGGTGCTCTGGAAATGCTTCTGTCTTTCACAATAATTCTGTGAATGTTCTTGGATCAGTGCTTAATTTCTGATTTCTTATTTATTCCTTTCCTTCCTTCTGCTTGGCAGGATGTGGTATTTTGGCTCCTTTTCACAGCTTTTAGCATAATCTGTGTCATGTGTTGAATATTTTTGTGACCTTTTAGTCTGTTTCCGACTTGATTCCTACTTAGGTTGTTTTACAATGGAAGTTACATTTGATTACATGTATTTTTGCCTTAAATTATCTGCTTCAGTTTAATTCAAAAAGCCACAAATGACAATTGAGTAATTGGATTACATGGGATTCTTAATGTTTCAATAATTCAAATTTGTTTTAAACATATCTTCTTTTAGTGACCTGCCACCTTTTGCTGTAACTGTTTTAATGTTCTTTCTGACATAGTCATGGAACTTGAAGGAAAAGTTGGGTAGATATCTGTCAGTATTTATCCTAATCAAATTATGGAAAGCTAACCTAAGAACTAGGATGTCTTCAACAAGGTATAACTTTGACTCTTGTCTGAAAACAACCTTATAATGAGACTTCTGCACAGAGAAGTGGTGTAAAAATATACCTAAAGATCACTAATTTGGGAAAGTTGTGTAACAGGTTCAGATCACAATGCAGAGTTCTCGCCAGTCTGTTCTGAAACAACAAGAGTGAAAGTATTTAAGATCTTACACTATCAGTGTATTAGGATGGGAGTTAAACATAATTTTTTGATGACTCCCTGAAATGTCTTTGTTCTGTAAGCATCCATCATGTTGAAATGGCTTGCAAAATCTTAAGCTGAAAATTATATGCTATGCATCTTCATTTCGGAGAAACTGAGTTTGCAGAGGCTGACGATCTCTCAGTTGTTGTTGTCCTTTAGCAGAGATTCAGAAACCATTTTTCCTGTACTTTTAAACATCTTAAGGTCAGTGGCAGCCTGCCTGATCCAGTCGTAAGTGTTCTGGCAAATATTCTACTTGACATTTCTGAAGTTATTTATTTTTGTGTGTTGGTGCAGCTTTAATTGTTCTTCAGTGTCTGTAATTTAGGTTCCAATGGAAGGCAACAAAGAAGGAAAGACACAGTATTGAGTAGGGTGGCTGAGGGGATAATTTGCTTCTAAAAAAAGCAGGTCAACTGTGTAAAATCAATAATGCATCATACAGGAAAATTGCCTCAAAGCAATTCATAATTGTCAAAATTCATGTAACAACATATAAATTTAATTTTATTTTCATCTTAGGCATCTAGGTTAACTTAACTTCCTGAAAGCATGTACATCAAAATTTAGATTTGTATATGAATGCAATCACAAATAAAGGAGATGATGCAATCCAAGTAACAGTTAAGTGGAATGACCAGTAACAAAATGCTAAAAAGCAATACTTTAAAAAAAACCCGCAGTGTTTGGGGTACAGTCTGTGATAATACTTCTTGAAAATGAGCAGCTTGGGTTCGTAAAAATTGATCTAGGTTGGAATCTGCTTTCTCAATTGTCATTTTATCACTTAAAATACATTAACAATCAAAAAATTGCAAAAGTAAAATCAGCCACCTTCTATTTTTTAACAGATGTACCATAGAAAAACTCCTTTGGCTAAAATTTAATTAGAGAGAAGCAGTCCTTTAAAATTTTTGTAATAACTAATAAGTGCAATACTCATTTTTCACTTTCTAAGACATGAAAGTCAGTGGTTTTTTGTCAGGAAACAAGAGTAACCTTGTTTGTACGTACAACTTCCATATTCTGCAGTATAATGGAGTTTGGCCCTGATTTAATCAGCTTTGGTTGAGATCTTACTACTCTTGTTCTTAATCATCACTTTTATTTAATTAATTACGTCTTTCATATCGCCCATTATTCCATTGTTTGTTTTTAACTTCTTTTGTGTTATGCAAACTTAGCAAAATCGTGATAGTGGTCTACTGAAATGCACCACTGAGTAGTTATACTGAGAAACTGTTATTTATAGAGAGTTCAACATGTTACGAATAGAGTTTTGCTTTTGTTTGTAAAGTTGAAGCAAAAGTAGTGTTAAGTCTTGAGACTCTGGATTGATGCCATTCTCAACTACACTAGATCTCCACTGTAGACTGAAAGTAACCACATGAATGTGTGGTGACTGCACATAAGTATCACAAGGCACTTCAATTCTCTGACAAGTCTCTTAAAACACAGTAGAGTTGAGTATCTTACCATAAATTTTCATCTCACTCTTATGCTTTAAAGGCCATAAAATACTGGCTTTCCTAAAGAAATGCAAAAGAAGACTGCCAGATCTTGGCAGTATACTTAATTGTTTGCTTCCAGGGGTTATATCTAGCAGATTTCATCATGGTTGGATTTGGATAAAGGTGCATAGACCTGAGTTGCTGGGCATGAAAATTGTCAGTTGTCAATATCTTCTAGATGACCACTTTAATTTTGCATTATAGGGGGAGAATAAAGAAATCTAAATGAACAATTGCAATACTTTGTTACTCTGTAAAACTTAGATTGCAGTAGGCTTCTATAGATTATGTTTCTAAAAAACAGGGGTAGTATTAACCACAGCCTGTTTGCTGGTCGTTTTCTAGTGTATGTGCAATGCTGGTTTTGGCTTGCAGGTCTGTTTTGTTTGGCGGGGAGGAAGGGTGCACATGAGACATAACCATTTTTTAAGTCCCTTTGTTCCCTTCTCCTCGACAGGAGGGCCTAGTGCAGTTTCCTTAGAGTAAAATAACTCAGTCTCATAGAGAATCCTTTTCATCTCTAGTCTGAAAGCCCATGTTTTTCAACACTTGGTAAAGCTTAGTTCATGGATGCACGGAGTTAAATTTGATATTTATGCAAGGAGTTTTATTTGATGTTAGCTTTTGTTGTATCATAAACTTTTGTATGTGTGTTTTCAAATAAACAGTAGATACAGACCAAGTACGAAGTTTTTTCACACCCACACCCTATCACTGATTCTTATGTAAAAGCATCCCTTTGGGATCTCTGAGAGGCTTACTTTGGATCCTGGAATAATAGTCTCACCCTATAAGAGGTAATTAGAGCTGTGATTTTAATATTGGTAAGATTAGTAGCACAAAGTTTTGAGTCATGCGTTAATCCTATGATTAAACTTTTTTCATTTTGAAACTAAAAGAATTAATTTGCAACTTTAAATACATTCTTGCCCAAGACAGTCCCTATCAGTGCATGTTGGTACCTGCAGCTATTTCAGTTGCAGACAATAAGATTATTTCATTTTATTTACTTGTTGTCAGAGGCTAAGTTACAGAATAATTTTAACAGAGTATTGGTTCACAATATAAGCACTGACTATTAAAGAAGATTAAAAGGCACACACTAACAAAATTGATCATGTCATACTGGTTTATATATTGTTGCCTGCAATATTAATACATTCGTATTTGGAGTAACTAAAATATTATTTGAACCTACTGAAGTAACCAGTCTTGACACTTAGCATTAATTACCTGTATTCTTTGATATAATTATTTTGCTTATGAACACTTCAACAATAAGACAGTTATTAGTGAGAGTAGTAACATGCAGAAGACTTGTTGGAATCTTTAGCAAAACATTGTTATAACAATGGAAACAACACTAACAGAAAATTCCTTGCTACCTTCTGAGATGCTCAGTATATGATGCACTTTAAAAAACCCCAAAGTTTAATATTTTGTTGTAGTACTTACCATATGTAGAAGTATAGTTTGCCTAGTATAGGAGTATAGTATGCCTACATGTAGGCATATAGTTTAGATGGTACTAATTACTATTAAAAAGCCATGTTCTTTTGACCATAATGAAGAGAGAGCTACTCCGTAGCTCCATGTAAATGTTGCCTTTATTGATAACTTAACGCAAATAGTGAATCCCTTTCAAAGATAATGGAAGAAGTTGTTGTAATTTAGGAAGTTGTCCAGAGATACTATGGTGAGAAAAATGTGAGTTTTTCCTTGGAAAGACCTACATGGAGAGTTACACAGAAGTAGAGCAGAGGGAAGATGGGCTGTTTCAGTTCTCCTGTGCAATGTGTTAGATCAGTCTCAGAGCACTGACTGTCAGTCACCTGTATGTAGCTTCTCTCACAGTAAAAGCAAAATACCTTTGCTCTCCATTCTGCATCTGAGTAGCTCACAGGTATAAACTGCCTCCGATTGGAATTTGGCTTTTCAATAGTAGAGGTGGGACCTATGACACATAATGTTTTATTGCATTGAGCTGCAAGTGCTGACAATGTTATGATGTCTGCTTGGAATCTAATGGGAAAACAGTATCAAAGCTCTGGAAGTCACTCTTCTTGCTATGGTCATGAGTCACTAGTCACCCCTGTTGGCTAACACCAACACGAACTGTCAAAACTCATGTTCTGAACTCAAAGGCAATAGAGAAAAGAAGGACTTGGGGATGAACAGAATGTGTAGGAAAGTTCCCAAATTAAATAGAGGGAAAGTTGTTGGGTTTTTTTTTGAAACTTAAGTTCTTGCTTTATGACTGTCAGCACAAGTGGTATTCCTTCCCGAGGAATGCAGAGTGTTTCAAATAGCACTGGAAGTCCACTCCTTGATTATTAATAATTAGATAGAGTCTCTACAACCACATTGTGAACTTTTCTCTTGAATCTAAATAGCCAAATACTAATCTTACCATGTTTTATTGGAAAATTGCTACTTTCTATAGCTTCTCTGCTGGCTTAAAGAATGAAAAATCTGAGATTTGTAATACAAATCTACATCAAAGGCATGACCCTTAGCAACAGGAAAAAATGAGCTCAGACCTACCTGTAGGTTGGTTTTTGTTCTTAATGCTCTTGACTGTCCTGAGAAGAATCTGCCCCTTATAAGTCCTTGGGAGACTTCACTTGACCTGTTTCGTCCCTCTATAGAGCAATTTTGTTCTTCTGGTCCCACAGTCCCCTTTGCTTCCAGTTTTACCTTCCTGTCCCTGAGGACTTTAGGGAGCACAGAAAACACTGTTTGAGACTTCTCACTGTTTCTCCACTCCCGTTGATAGAAGGATCTGTAGAAGCCCTGATGCAGCGATGCAGAGAACACTCTCTTCTCCCATAGTATGCATGAGAGAATGTGACCCATGGACGAGAAAATACAGCTAATTCCGTCAGCTATAATAACCAGCTTTCTGCAAGGTAAAGAACCAGCCTTGTATCTGCCCATGTCCTTGCTGTTAGGTTACTCATTAGCCTTTCAGACTCAAGGCAGCAGTTTCTAAGTGAATATTCTCAGGTGTTTTCCTTTCACACAGACTCAGCTGAAAAAAGACAATGTTAACTTTCTTAAGTTCCATAAGAAGCTTGAAAAACCCCCACCTCATGGTACTGCTTTAAAATCTAGCAGTAGTTCTGAGTAAGCAGTTGAGATTTTTGAGTAGGTACTCAAACATACTAAGGAAGTGAAATCAATGTGTTGGTTTCAACAGATGAAAAAAAAAATCCCATAAATGTCCCATTTCATGGAGTGTATTCTTTGTAAAGTTTTTCATAGGAGTATTTAAGAATACTTGCAAGAGCAGTTGAATAATGTGAATTTAGAGTAGATTTCAGAAAGTTAGATATCACTAAATAACAGATGTTTAATTAGCTTTAAGTTTGTAAATGAGCTTCATTTTTTATGGTAGTAGTTATGTTCTTTACCTACAAATTCCAATCAGATTTCCTATTTAAAAGATTTGAGTTTAATGTGTAAGTAGTGGTGTTGAGGCAGGTATTATTTTAGTAATATTCTTTCAAGTATTTTTGAATTAAAGCAGCATTTGCAGGAGAGAAAATTCTATGCAGTCCAAAAAAAGAACTTAAATAGGTTAAACCCACTGCCTTCTCGTAACTTTAAATGGGCAAAAATCTTAAGTAACCAAAAATAATGAGATGTAACGTGCAGATTCTAGAGGAAAAGAAGCTCTCAGCTGAAGAAAGTTATTTAGTTCTTCATGCAATTTAATTTGTAAAGTTTCTTTAATGGAGGCCTTCAGTTCATGTCATTTTGTGTTGTGCTACACTTATTGTAAAACAATCCCAGCTACTCTTAAAAGTATTTAAGAAGTGGAAATGTTCCAAGTATTCAATTCTATTTTTCATTTCTCCTTTTCTTCTTTTAGATTTTTTTAAGTGATAGGTAGAATATTTCCATGTTGTCTCTTCTGTCATAAATTCCCTAATCTGTATCATAATTGAGTTAAATATTGCCAGTGTATCTTCCAGAATCACAGACTGTTAAAATACAGTTCAGGTTGTGTCTTGGTCATCTTTGGACATGGAAAATAGCGCATTAAGTAGAATTATTTTAAATGAAAAAAAAAAAGGCTTGTCAGGAGTTGACTGGCTTAGGCACTGCTCTAAAAGGGAGTCTTGTTCTATGTTTAGTATAAATAGGGCTCCTGCTGTTTAGGAAAATACAGGTTGAGCAGTGAGGATGTTGTCAGTGGTGTTTCCACACATCCACAAGAACATCATGATTAGACCTCTTTGAGTGTCTGCTAGAAGAAATTTGCACCTCCCTGCAAAGTCATTCTAAACAACCACAGATTTTTCCAGGGTTTGTATAATTTCTCCCACTAACATTAGATGTGTTTCCCACTGTCACCTGCTTATTTGTCACAACTTAATAATTCACCAAAGTATTTCTGCTGAAAATTACTCCAAAGTACACAGCAGGTGTGCAAGGTAATCTCCAGATTACTTGCCCATGTTTTTTTCCAGACACTGAAGTTTTTCTTGTTCTTTTTTTCCTGACCTCCCAGTGTGATGTTTCTGTCCCTAAGATATTAAATCACTTAAAAACTGTCTGGCTTCCAAATTCAGTTGGAGTAAAAGCTCACATCAACAAGGTCAAGGGAAGGGACTTCCAGACAATGTTTTAGAAACATTTGTTTCTTCTGGGAATGAATACCATGAGCTTTGTAGGCATATTTAGAAAGGAGGAGGCTTTCACTATGAAGATCTTTATATTTTCTCTCCATGTTTTACATAGTATTTTCTTTGTAATTTGTTCTTTTAAAGGATTTTAATTGCTCCAAAAAGAAAATTCAGCTTCAGAGATCGTTTTTGTATGGAAAAAAAAATCATAGAACCTTTGCAAAAATCAGATAATTGTCAGTCAACACGAAATCTGTCTGCAGTCAACTTCACCAATGCATGTTTCTCAATGTTTATTTTTTCAAACTTGTGCACAAAACTGTGTGGATGTTTAATTGGAAATTTTAATCTTTAACTCTGTGGCATTTTTTCATAGGAACTTTATTCCATAGTTAGCTGTGGAGCTTCAGTTCAGTAGGTAGTGAAAACAGTTGAAACCATGATTGTCCTCTAATTCGGGTTACAGGTGACCTGCATATGTTAATTGTCATCTTTGCAGAGCTTTTCGTTTTATGTGCTGATTCTCCCCTGATTTTTCCTAGCAGGAAAATAATTCTAACTTCTGTAGACCTTCACTTTTCTCAAGTCACTTAAAAAGCCATCACAACTCCAAAGTATCTTTTCTAATTGTTTTGATGTTATGTGATTTTAGATTTATCTTCTTAGTTTCTTTTGCAGTAAATGAATGTATGCCCAAAGCAATTTTACTTTGTTTGATTTTCTCCTACCCACAACTTTTTAGGAATTGATCCCACTCATACTGTGTACAGCCTGCCTCCATCCTGAACCCAAAGAGAGAGATCAGCTTCTGCACATACTGTTCAATTTGATCAAACGACCAGACGATGAGCAAAGGTGTGTTTGCACTTGTGTGATATGGGACAAGCAGGAAGTTTTTTCTCTGTGCAAGCAGCAGTACTAGTAAAAAGTGGATATTATTGGGTGGTATTAAACAAGTTTTGTTTAAGCTGGTGTTTTGCTTATGTAGTGTTGACAAATTTATACCAAGTTCAGGACTTTCCATTTCCATGACCTGTACTTCCACTTACTGAAATATAAGAATGTGCTTGTAAGCTACAGTGTAATTTCAGTTCCTTTTTCTGTTTAAAGATGAATTTAAACTGTTTGTTAAAATGATCTTTAGCATCATCATTCATTCACTGATTGATGTCAAAATCAAAACAGCTTTTTTTTTTTAAACCTGTCTTAGTGATCTACATGTTTATTCAGATGACTACTACATTTCTTTAGGAAAAATAGTGCTCTTTCTACATATGGCTCATTACTATGGTAGCAATAAAAAATCAGAAGAATGTAGCAGTGATGTAGGTCTGACAAGGGTTAAGGACTTTGTTTCATTTTGGTTAAGCTTCTGAAACAAATTACACCTTTTGTTCTATAAATTTAATTCTTCCATAGTGCTCAGGCAATGTGACTTTGTACTGATCTTGATGAGAATATCCCTAAGGTTGAAAGACAAGTACCCAAGCTGGTATGGTTCCTTCTCTTAGCTGTGGAACAACTTTTCTTGTTTGATCTGTAGCTCTTCCATTATTTTCATTAGAGATGTTTTGGAAAGCATCTGTGTCTATTGTTGCTCTAGGCTGTCTTCAGACAAAATAGGCTTTGTGAAATAGGTAGAAAGCATTTCTTTTGGAGACTCTCAACCTGAAGTGTTCAGGCATCTTTCTGAACTGTTCCCATGGTAAAATTTAGAGATTAGGTGTAACTGAAAGCCATGGCTTTGGAGACAAAAAAAAAGCTTAAATAAGCAAAAGCAACTTGTAGCATAGTGGCACCATATAGATTGAAATTACAAAAATATGCAGTCTTGATTCTACTTCAGAGTGATTAGAAAACTGCTTCTGAAATGTTTTGAATGTCCCAGTGGATTGAGAAGCTAAAATAATTTGTGGTTGAAGGGGAATTTGCATGTCACTTGTAGTCTCTTATGATTAATTTGTTAAAGGATTGGTGGCCTATCAAGTAGACTTTTCATATCCCCCTATAGGTGTATTAGGTGTGTCTTTTCCAGCAGTTAAGAATAAACAAAAAACTTTTTTTCCTTGAATTTGTTCAATTTGTGTTGCAAATTAGAGATTCATATATAAAAATAACTTGTTTCTATGAGAAATCTGGGAAAAATAGTCTGCCATAAACTCTAGGACAAAGCATGCGTATACATCATATACATCTGCACACGTAGAAATAATAATTGCTTTTAAAGTTGCCATAACCTGATGGAAAACCAGTCAAGATTCCATGAAATAAGAGATTCTGAATAGTAATTAAATAGAACATACTTTTTTGGAATTTCAGGGGGGTTACATTTATAGATTTGTATGGAAGCGTATTATGCATGCTTTGTTTTTATCTAAATACATTTAACTAATATTTTAGCAGTCTTTTGCAATATGAAGTGAGCAGAGACATTCAGGTTTAGTCACCAGAAGATGATGTTCACTATCTCTTGTTACTTATTTACCTTCTGCTGTACTGCACAGGCCTACTATATTGTACCTTGATGCAGCAGCTGATTAGTTGACATTTTTAATTTGCTAAATGCGAGAGACTGAAATGTGACATTGCATTTCTAAGAATGAACCCATTAGAAGAAGTATTTTGTTTTACAATGTCAAATATCTGAAGTATGTTGACAATTATGCAGAAAGCCTGGATTATACCTCTTGCCCATGGGAGATGCATTTTGGTGCTTGGCATATTTCTGTGGTCTTGTACACTTACATAATATGTAACAAGGCCACTTTTATCCTCATGGCTTTGCTCATTAATGTCCCATTCAACTTTTAAAAATGCCTATTAAATTCTATTCTGCAAAGGAGCAAAAATATGTTCACATAACCTCCTTTTTGTACAATTATGTTAGTTTTGGAGGCTAGGAGTCATGAAGAACTGAGATTAATGTTTGGCTCTAATTGGACTAAGATTAAAACATTGCTTCAGTCACCTCTTATTCAGATCCTTACAACTTTCCTTTCCCTGAGATGCTGACTGATATAATATGCTGTTAAAATGATTGCAGTAAAATATTTAAAACCTTATTTTAAAATGTGTTTGAAATATCTTCAAATTCTCATCTTGGTAGGCAGGGCAAAAGGAAATCTGACTTAATTTTGAGGTTTTGTGGAACTTTTTAGAAAAGATTTGATGTAAGAAAAAATATTTTATCCCATTTATAATGCAGAAAAATTCATGTGATTACTGTGTTCTGCTATTTCCTGAGGTCTTGAAAATACATATTCTCTTGCCCAGTTGTGTGATTAGGTGCAGTGTATAGAACCAAAGACAGTAATTCAAATGCCTGTTTTGTTTGCAGTAGAACTGAGAATCACCACAGGCTTTTGTCTCCATATTGCTGTCAGCTGTTGATTTCTTGAGTCTTATCTAATAATTTTTGTTTTCTCCCTACTTATTACCTTAATCAAAGGCCTTTGTGGTAAAGAGGTAAAAAACCCAAAGATTGTGGTAGAGCGGTAAAAAACCCAAACACACACAACACAGAAGAGCTTGGTCTGATTGTTGGCATAAAGAATGCTGGGATTAAAAAAAAAACTTTTTTGATAGGATCTTTCTCCTAAAAAATTCTTGAAGTGAATGAGTCTTTTTTTGATGGAGTATATTCTCTAAGGGGTTAAAAGATAACCAGCAAAATCTCTGCCTTTCAACCTTAATGGGATGCTATTGGTACAGAAAATATTTAGGAGTCTAGACATGACACTAAAATAGTAACAAATTAATTCTAGCTTAAATTTCACAGAGGAATAATAATAAACTCTGAGTGGTGTCCTGATCTTACTAAGGAGATGATAAAATTGAGTCTCATGTCCACACATTATCATTTGAAACTGGGTATTTAATAATTCATGTAGGCTACAAAGGTAAATAGAATTGGTGAATTGCATGCAAAGTTGGTACTATTCCAATCCTATCAACAGGAAAAATGGAAGTAAAAATATCTTACCAAGATAGACACTCATTAAATAAAATACCACAAATGACAATTTAGTACATAGTCTTACTGAAATTTTATATATACCTCTGTGCCTATAAAATTGATGGAACAGTGGCAATTTCTTGCAAACTTTAATGAAAGGTATAAAAGTATAAGAATACAAATAACAGGTGATCATAGATCCTACTGGTTGATTACCTGCTTTCATTTTTTAGTGGGCTTTAGAAGATTTCTCACAAAGTGAAGTTCCGTGTTATGTGTGAGATGACAGTAACTTGCATGTCAGAACATTGCAAAACTATGTCATAAAAGAAATAAGCTGCATGCTCTGAAGAAAGTTCAATAAATCTCACAAATGCTTCTAAATCAAATCAATTTATTTTGGTGAAATACTGATGATACGATAGTATTAGGTAATTTAGATCCTTTTACTGCATAATAGTATTCAGTACTAAGAACTAAATGAGAGATTGAGTCAGAGACTCCCAATCTCAGACTTGAGGAAATCAGATACACCCAAATCAGAGATTCTCAGACTGGTTTATGGAGTTGAGGATCTGCAAGATTTTGGAAAAGGCATTCTGAATATAAAACAGAGTAAAATCATAGAATAGTTTGGGTTGAAAGGGATGTTTGAAGGTCATGTAAGCAAATCCCCACCCTGCAATGAGCAGGGATATCAGTGGCTTTCAATTTAATATTCAGTTTTTAAGTCAGTGTGGATGGTGCGAAATCTTGACTGCAGACAACTACCTATTACCTGTCAGCATGCACTTTTCCTAACTTAAGGAATGTATATTGTATATTATAAAACTTTATTAACAGGTTAAAGCTTTAAATTTATCTTTTCAGACAGATGATACTGACTGGGTGCGTGGCATTTGCCCGACATGTTGGACCAACACGTGTAGAAGCTGAACTTTTACCACAGTGTTGGGAGCAGGTAACTGATTAGTGTTTGCTTTATGCTCCAAAATCAGTTAAAACTTCATAAATTTGAGTTTTACTTGTTCAAGGGGGAGATTTTGGGTTTGGTTTTCAGAAAGATATTTGAATGTTCTTTGTTCTCATCATATGTATTTTTATCTTAACATTAAAAACACCTCAGAAGCAGAAAGCTTATTAAAGACCATCTGGAGAGATTTTAGTTACCTGCTTGTACTTGAATAAGCTTGTTATATTGAAGTGTAGATAAGCACAGGTTCATCATCAGTGTCGTGTAACATACTGCTAGGTAGGTACCTTTATAATTTTTACTCTGCCTTCCAGCCTGTTGGAAATCCATTTTCATTCAAAGATTTTATTAGCTGATTTTTTTTAATGTTGTATTAAGTCCCTGGAGCAATATCCACACCAGCTAGTTTAAATTCTTAAACAGATAATCAAAGACCAAAGTACTCATAAGCAAGTCTCTCATAGTGATCTTTTTTTACAGATACTCCAAATTAATAGAAATAACTGAACAACCAAATGGAAATGTTTTTTACTGTTTCATCTGAGGCATAGAACCAGAATAACATGAGTTCAGGTGAAAATCTGTTGTATTTTCCTACCACTTGAAGGAAAGGGAGTTCATCATTGCCTGAAAAGACAATGAATAACTAAGCCGTGACGGAGTGGGAATGCCTGCTTTGATGGCAGAGTCTTTCTGGTCTGGTAGTTTTCTACTGTTCCGTGCATAACACAGCAATCTGTGTTTCCCAATACAGTCTAAGCTTTAATAGCCTTAATGCTTTCTGACAGTAGAAGTACGAATTATATGCAGTGTTTTTGCTTGTTGTGAATGACTGATGTATCTGGCGATTAAGTGAAGGTCTCATGACATAGTTTGAAAGGAGCCATACAAAGGATTCTGTATTTTTGCCTAATTTTGTAATCAACATTTTGTTTTCTTAGTCCTCATGAAATTTTAACTGTGCTTGAAAAGAACTATCTCACCTCAGTGAGAGCACATTTTTCTCATCCACTTCTTGCTAATTGCTGATGCAAAAGAGAAACGAGTCTAACTGTACAAGTACAGCATATCAGACTGCCAAGTCATACGGCATAGTGCACTTATCTAATGCAGTTTGCCAGACTTTGTTTGGCAGTACTGGAACCAGGTCATTATTTTCTCCATTGAAATACCAGCTGAATCTTACTGTCACAAGTCTTGAATTTGTAGAAGAAACTCTAGTAGAGACATAATTTTCTACTTTTTACAGTAGGTGTGTAAACCATGAAAAATATTCATGCTCTTGGTCTCCAACCAAAATCTGTTTACAGATGCAAAGGACTGGACCCTTAGGAAATTCATCCTTTTCATTGATACATTGTGGAGCTCAGTTATCAGGCTAGACTTTTTAATCACTCTACCTGCTCTTTTGCAGTTAAAATTTGATAACTGACTCAGTTTAGTTGAAGACTCTGTGAATGCTAAAAGGGTCACTCAAAACTAGTGACCAGTTGTTGGCTTCTAAAATTGGAATACTGCTTACTAAAGACAAAAGCAAAATAAATCATAATAAACATTTTAGTTACATTTAGTTTCCAAGGGCTACTCATCTTCTGTGAACACAAACCTGAGAGAAATTTCAGTCTTTTTTCCTCCAGTATGTCTTTGCAATATTGGGGTGATATTTATATTGCCATGCCAGACCACCTAAAACCAGCTGAAATTAGTCATTGCTGTTTCCCACAGGTAGGCAGAGGTCCAGAAGATGATGTGTGTCTCTGCTCCCAGAGGGGAATTTGCATTTGAAAAGATGGCACATAAGTAAAAGATATTACAGAATAATAAAGAAGTTAGGGTTGGAAGGGACCTTAAAGACCATTAGCTCCAAGCCCCATCCAACCTGGCCTTGAAAACTTCCTGGGCATCCACAGCTTCTCTGGGCAGCTTGTTCCAGTACCTCACCACCTTTACACCTAGTAGGTTTTAAAGCAGACTCTTACTTGTCCATAATATTTTTCATCTGTGAAATCTCCATACTTCCAAAAATTATTGCAGGTGCTCTACTGATGAATGAATGCAAAATAATGATAGACACACTCAAAGAACGTTCTCATGCTTGAGACTTCAATGTTTAGTCCTGAAGCCATTAATTTAAGTCTCTTTGAAATACCTTTTCCACACTTGATTCTTGAGAGAGTTCTCAGTAATTTCATACCAGAGCAGTCAGAGTCAGGCATCATGGTTGAATGTGCTAAGCCAGTCATCTCAGAAAGTTGTCAGGTTGGTTGTGTCATTTTTTCTGTGTAAATACACGCTGGCTATTTCCAGCCACCCTTGGATGTTTGGAAATGCTTTGTAAGGCTGATTGCTCCAACACCTTCTCAGGAGCTGGTGTGAGGCAGACTGGCCTGTGTTTTACTGGATTTTCTGTCTTATCCTTCCTGGGGGTAGCAGTGACATTTGCTGTCTTCCAGTCCTCAGGAACTTCCCCCTTTGCCACAACATTTTGTTAGTTGTCAAGAGTGTTCTTTGAATGCCATCAGCCAGATCCCTGAGCACCCATTGGTACATCTCCATCAGGGCCCACACACTAGTGTATGTCCAATTTCTTCAGATATTTCCTGGCCTGCTAGTTTCTGCCCAAGGTCCTCCTGGTGCCAGAATTTGGCATGGATTTTAGGGACCTCAGAGTACTGAAGGCAAGTCTTTCAAGATAGAGACAAAGAAGTCAGTGAGTACTTTGGTCTTTTTTCATGGTGAGATGGCTGCCTCACCAAGGCTATACACTACATAGTAAGAAAGAAACAATTGCACCAAATGCTGCATATCCTATTTTATCTGACAGCATCAAAAAATTCACATTTTACTCTCAGCGTGGTACCATAGAAGTTTTTATTCACAAAGTATTGAAACACTTCATTGTTTCATTGTACAACCATTACATGGACCACTAAATCTGGCTCCACCAGAATGCGCACTTGATTCCTAAGTGTCAATAATAAATAATAAATTTGTAAGGCAGAATTTTCAAGCAACTTTTGAGTAGAAAGGGGAACTATCACAGGATCAAGAGATTCTTGGTAATAGGAATTGTTTTTAGAGGTGTGACATATTTATGCTGGATTTGAGAGCAAACTTGAATAGAATGCAAATGTGCGTGTCTTCTTTTGACTGATTGCTCAACAAGACCTGTGCAGCTCTGCTGCACTGCTTGGCTCAGAGCACTAGAGGGCACTTGTGCAGCTCCTGGAGGAACAGTGCTCCTGAAAGGCTTCATAAGACAAAATATTTCATGTCATGCCAGTTCAGGAGTTATGCAGATTCTTTAGAGTACAGCAGCCCATCCGCTGCTTTCCTTTTTATTCTGTATATGTACATGCTTCTCATAAACATATGTGCTTCTCTGACTCTTTCCCTACTATAAGCTATGTCTTAGAGGACAACTGCCTCATTTTTATGCCTCAGTGCAAGAATTTGAGCTGCTTAGTACCCAGGTGCAACTTCTGTGAGCTCAATCAGTGTTTCTTGAAGAGGTGCAGACACACCCCTCTAACAGGGTGTGCACCCCTCTGCAGTTCATTCTAACCACATTTTGAATGCTGGTTACTGCAAAGCAAATAGTCCATCTGTTTCTCTTTACCAGATCAACCACAAATACCCAGAGCGACGGCTACTGGTAGCAGAATCCTGTGGAGCTCTAGCACCTTACCTTCCAGTAAGTATTAATAGACTCCAAATACCTGCTAGGGAAAGCAAGGGAAAAATCTGATGCATAATGTAAGCATCCTATATAATTTTAAATATTACCAAGTATGTATGTTATGCATAGACAGTCACATTGTCTTCTACGCTATCACACATGAGATTCATAAGTCACTTTAAGAAGGAGAGAGTTTGTTATGAAGAAATACAGGTTAATCTAACTATAAAATGTTTCTAAAAATAATATGAATATTCATGTCAGTAAAAAGGAGGCAAAGAAGAGATAGTTAGGACCAATTAAGGAAACAATCTATGAAAAAGGAACTGGCACCCAACTGTAGTGTTCTTCAGACACTGTGGAATGTTACATCAAGAGTGCTGCCAGCTAGAAGAAGCAGAGAAATTGTCAGTGGTAAACTAAAATTTTAAGCTTCAGAGAAAGGGTGGGGGAAATTTTTTAAATTAAAACCCAGTTTCTCCAATTTAGTGATTAAAGTCTAGGCCTGTAATAGTTTTACTGCTGTTAGTTATTTTTGGTTCCATGTGAATGAAAGGACCTTAGTTCTGTGCTTAGTAGGACAAAAGTCTCTCTAATGAAGCTACTTTTATATTATGACATTTATGACATTTTATATTCATTCAACTTCTATTGTGAAAGCAGAACATATAAGATTCATAAAGAATTTTATGGTTGGAGGAAGGGATTTTGTTTGTGAGCACTAATAGAAGTGGGAACTTTTTATTATAGTTGATACAAGCCTGCATTTCTTGTTTCATTGGCTTTAACAAATGTGTTTCTCGTTTACAAACAGAAAGAAATTCGTAGTTCATTAGTACTTTCTATGCTGCAACAAATGCTAATGGAAGATAAGGCAGATCTGGTACGAGAAGCTGTGATCAAAAGCCTTGGCATCATTATGGGCTATATTGATGATCCAGATAAATATCAACAGGTATCATTTGGTTTGGGTTCTGGATGTATAAAATGCTTTCTGTAGCTATTTCATAAATAATGAAAGAGGTTGTATAATAATAGAGGGTTGTTTAAATTCCTGCATTTTTATTAATTCTTTCGAGATACTTTTAAAAATTGAATATTTATATGTATGTTGATTTTACTATATCACCAAGACAAAACAGAAAAACTACAAGTAGCCTTTGAATTTCAGGTGTAAGCCTTATACAGAAGCTGCTCTAATAGTTCATAATTTGCCTTTAAGAACATACCACTTCACTGCCCATCTGATATTATTAGCCAGTTTGGCATCATCCCTTACTAACACAGATTCGCTTGCTACAACAGAGCCTACCTATAGTTCAGCTTAGTGCTGCCCAGTAGTGTTTCACATAAGTGAAAATAAAGAACTTTTCTCTTTGAGTTTTTGAAGGCAGAGTGGTAAAATGTGTATGTCAATTTGTAGGAAATAATTGCATTCTTTACTGTCTTTTATCAGGGTTTTGAACTGCTGCTTTCAGCTTTAGGAGACCCTTCAGAACGTGTGGTTAGTGCAACACATCAGGTATTTTTACCTGCATATGCTGCCTGGACAACAGAACTGGGAAATTTACAGTTCCATCTTATACCTACACTGCTTAATAAAATTGAAAAATTGCTCAGGGTATGTACTCAGCTGTTTCTACACTGGAGAATTTTCTTTGTGTTCTTCACTTGTACTTGGAAGAAGGAAAAAAAAAAAAAAAGAAAAAACACCAAACCTCCCCCAAACTAAACATACTCTTCTTTAATACTGTTCTGTTTTGTATCCGAATAGCATTGTCCCATGTCTAAATTGTGTAGAATTTGGTAAACTGCAGTTTTTATTAAATAAGCAAGAAAAGTAGATTTAAATGGTTAAGTTAGGCCATTTCCAGTTATGGTCCAGTTTGCACATTTCATTTGATAAATATCTCAGAAGTTCTGGAAAAATTGTATGCCTCATAACTGTCTAACACAATGAAAGAAGATGCTTGCATTCAGAGTACAGATGACTTGTTTATTCAGTTTAGATGCCTTCATCTCTGAGGCAAAGGATCCACATTTCCAAAAGGTGCTGAAAAATGTTCTTTAAAAATATCAGTCTGTTCATCAGCATGAACTGCTCAATGCCAAAGGCTATATTGCCTGGATCTTTTGAGTAGAGGTGACCTGAGAGTGGCAAAATATGCTTATGATTAGGCTAAATTCCTTTATAATTAGTGTGTCTGGGTAGAAGTTCATCACAGATGTGTTGATGCCTTGCCAGGGAATACATGCCTAAGGAACAGATCTTCCAAACTGAAAACTTCCAAATTAATGTCCTGTTTGTTTCAGGAAGGAGAACATGGCTTGGATGAACATAAGCTCCACATGTACTTGTCCGCCCTGCAGTCATTGATTCCTTCACTGTTTGCACTGGTGCTACAGAATGCACCTTTTACAAGCAAGGCTAAACTTCAGGGAGAAGTACCACAAATAGAAGGTAAATTATTCATTTCTGTTATGTCGTTTTTTTATATTGGTCTGCCTTAGTAAATTCTTAAGTAATGCTTCCCTTTTTCACCTCTTGCTGTGCTTGAAATACCTGATTTTCACAAAAAATTTTGATCTATTTTTCTCTACTTCTTATAAGAAGCTTTTAGAAAGCAAGGCAATTTTTAATTGTACTTCCTAAAGGTTTCTAAAGAACTGATTTCCATTAATAGCCAATAATAGCTCAGGAAGGCTGACCTCAGATTCAGTTAATCCTTACAAATTTATGGAGTGAGGAAAAACACAGCATAATGCAGCAGCATCACTATCTGTTATCTATTTGTGTAATATCCTAGAAGATCATCCCATCCCTGGAAGTGTTCAAGGGCCAGGTTTGGTGGAGTTTTGAGCAACCTGGTCTAGTGGAAGGTGTCCTGCCCATGGTAGTAGGGTTGGAACTACATGAACTAGGTGCATTCCAGCCCAAACCATTCTGTGACTGAATGGCCTTGTGGTGAAATTGTCCTTAGATCAGCAAACCTAGCTTGTGGAGTGTTTTCTACTGTTGCAAATACTTTAAAGATGTTATTGATAGCACCTGCCACATGCTGATAGTAGTGCTGTGTGTGAAGATGCAAAGGGAGGGTAACAAAGGAGAATTTGGAAAATAGCTAGTGGTACATTACTGTCTGATACTCCTTTGAAAATGGATACCATGGTAAGGCTCATCTATCTGACTCGAGTAATTTGAAGATGAGCACTTTCTCACTGAGTGGTTACTACTTAAATAACAAATTCAAAAATTTCAGGTTTCAGCCTAGTCTTCTACATGCTGAACAAGCACAGCTCTTTCAGCCTTTCTGCATAGGAAAGGTGCTCTGTCTTTTTGTTCACACTTTTGTAGCCATCCTTGGGACTTGCTCCAGCAGGTCCATGTCTTTCCTGTGCTGGGGACGTCAGAGCTGGATGCAGCAGTCCAAGTGGAGTCTCATGAGAGAGAAGCAGAGGGCTAGGATCACCTTCCTCATCCTGCTGGCCATGCTGTTTTGGATACAGCCCAGGATAGTGTTGGTTTTCTGGTCTGCAAGCAAATATTGCTGCATCAAGTCCAGTTTCATCATTCACCAGCATCCCCAAGTCTGCTCTCAATCCCTTCATATCCCCCAGCCTGCATTGCCCTGACACAGGTGCAGCACCTTGCACTTGGCCTTGTTGAGCCTCATGAGATTCCCATGGGCCTATTTCTCAAGCTTGTCGCTCCCTCTGGATGATGTCCTGTCCCTTAGGTGTGTCACTGCACCGCTAGCTTGGTGTCATCTGCAAACTTGCCAAAGGTGTACTTGATCCCTTTGTATGTGTCATTGGTGAAGAGAGTGAATACTACTGTTCCCAGTGTGGACCCCTGAGAGGCACAACTTGTCACTGATGTCCATCTGGACATTAAGGCATTGACCCCTATCCTCAAGGTGTGAGCATCCAGTCAATTCCTCATTCACTGAAAAGATGATCCATCAAATTCATATTTCTCCAGTTTAGAGAGGATGTTTTAGGAGACTTACAGCAGTCCAGATAGGTGACATCTGTGGCTCTTCCCTCTTCACAGATGTAGTCACTCCAGCATAGGGGGCCACTAGGTTGGTCAGGCAGGGTTTGACCTTGGTCAGTCTGTACTGGCAATAATAATAACACAATCTCCCTGTATTTTCTCTTTTTAACTGAGGGTTACATAATCTCTTCAGAGATGATTTTAACTCACTAGTTTTTAAAAAGCAAATTGATAACCTTATAGAGAAGGCACTTAATAAATTTGACAGTTTATCTGTTGTTTCTGACATCACCTCCATGGTATTTTCATCTTCTTTCATCCGTGTTTGCTCGTTCTCTGCTGTTACAGTCACTAGGTTTCCCCGACCCGTGTCGCCTCTTCAGGATGTCGCCGTCATCATTGGAAGCCGCGAGCAACTGGCGGTGCTGTTGCAGCTGTATGATCATCAGCTGGAACATGAGGGCACCACAGGCTGGGAGACTCTGCTATGGGTAGTCAATCAGCTGTGAGTTCATTTGTGTCTTAGGATACCTAATTTTAAAACATGTCAAAATTTATAAATCTTAATCGTGGTCGGGTTTAACAATTAGTGAATATAAGAATGCTAAGAACAATTGCATTTGAGAATTACTAAAGAGAAAAACTTAATTTGTTTTAGGCAGTTTTATTTTCATGCTGAATTGCCTTTTATTTTATTCAGAAAATATCAAGTCTAGCAGAACATGAAGGTAACTAATTGCTCTGTAAACTTTATTTTTGCATCGGTATAGTTAATTCTCTTATGAAGTAAATATTGTTGTATTCTGACTATCTCGTGATAGCAACAGATGTTTGAACATATGGGTCAGACTTTTCTGGCACTTAAACCCTTGCTTTCTTCACGGGTCAGGAATTGTACAGAGCATGTAGCTAACTTTATTAGAGCCAGTAGTGCTCTGTGTGTGTAAGTATTTATTAATATAAGCAATAAATGTATACAAATGTAAATGGACAAAATCAAAAAGTCAGAGTAGTGTTTAATATCCTTTTGTTTCCTGATTTTTAGGCTACCACAGCTTATAGAAATAGTTGGCAAGATCAATGTAGCATCAACTGCTTGTGTCCATGAGTTCTCTAGATTTTTCTGGAGACTTTGTAGGACATTTGGGAAAATTTTTACAAACACTAAGGTAAGACATTACTTCAAATATTCTACATGCTTGGTAATATATAGTCTCTATATTTCCATTATGTTGGAACACCCACAATTTGTGACCTTTTATATTTTCATGTCACGTTTATGCTTTTCCGTAAGTACATTTAAACCTGCTATTTTTAGAGTTCTCTTTGTATCATTTTCTGGTTTTGTTAATTTTGGAATTGCCTTCTCATCTTGCCCAACCAGGGACAATTTTTTTTTTTAACTGTATTCTTCCTATTTCCTTTGTGAATAACAGAGAGAGGAGGAGAGATCGTCCTAATTCTGGTTATTTAACACCTTTGTTTCTTCAGAGCAGCATGTTGTTCACTCTTTGGAGTGTACATAAGTACTCCACCTTAACTGATTAAAAAATTTGAAGTTGATGCCTTCCCAGCCTGAAATATTTTCTGTAGGTGGTATCTATACATTTTTATCAAGGAATTATATAATTTTTCTCAATAAAATTTTAAAATACTTCAAAGGACATTGTCAAACATCAGAGGATTACCTAAAGATAAAACTCTGTTAGCAGTATGTACTGCCTCCAGAGAGGGGATTGTTGTTTTGTTTTGGGGGATTTTGTTTGCTTTGTTTTGCAGTTATTTTTATTTTTCTAAGTTAATTGACACTGGTGACAGGTCAATTACCATTGACCAATTCTTACATGCGTTTCATCATCCTTTGCATAGGTAAAACCACAGTTCCAGGAAATCTTAAGACTGTCTGAGGAAAACATAGGTAAGTAGCTTTTTACTGAAATAAATTGATCTTAATTACAACAGGAAAAACTTTCAATCTCTTGTTCAAATGACATTGTCAGGCTGAAGGTCTCAAATTTATTATCTTTGTGAAACATTGAAAAAGCTAGTCTTAATCTGAATGGAACCCCCTGAAATTGTATGTTGTGTGTAAAGTAAAAACAAAATCTCAAATCCAAATACCTCTTGAGTATTATTTAAGCACATTTCAGTATATATGCATATATATGCATATAAATTATTCATGTATATGTAAAAAATTATTGAATCTATAATACTTTAATACACACATGTAAGTCTACTATATATAATACATATGTTCTATACTCATATGTATGTATAAAACCTCAATTCTTAACTGTGTTTCATTAGATTCCACAGCAGGCAATGGGGTGCTAACAAAAGCCACAGTTCCCATCTATGCAACAGGGGTCCTTACATGTTATATTCAGGTAGGTTTGGGTTTCTGTTTCTTTGTTGTGTAATAGTGTGAAACTTATTTTAAAAAAATATCTAAACATTACTGTGTTCATTGAAAACTTAAGCTAGGTAGATGAATGGGCAGCTGTAAATACATCTACAAGCAAACTTTTCTAGTCAGGTGGTGGTGCACATTTAGATCATGTGTTACCATGCCCCTCTGTCAGACTTCTGTTAATGTTCTGAAATGGGTTCTCAGCCATTTAACTGTGAACTTGGTAAACATCATGGTGCCAAACAGGTACTGAAACAGGTAAATTGCCATTTGAAGTCTAGTTAGAGTCTTAAAATTTTGATGTTACCTAGTACTAAAACAAGCACACTATTCATCTTAGCTAATCCTCCAGCAATGAGCAGTCAAGTTCTAGTACACACATATCTTACAGGAAAAAAAAAAGAAATTCTTCATAATCTTACAAATTTTTAGTGGATTATGATTTATTAACTTTCAGGAGTCATAAATGTGCTTAAGTACTGTTCTTAGAAGTTTCTTTAAGAAAAGAATTTATGCATGAGTATGTGCTTAGTGGATGAAACACAATCTCTTCATGTGATTGCTTTGAAAGGCTCTTGTTCTTTAAATACATTTTTGAAGTTCCTAAGAAAATTGTTAAATGCTTAATCTCGTTTGTTCTTTTTCATAGTTTGTCTCCTCTACAGCAATAGGTTGCTATCATAACCTCAGCAGTCCTTCCAGCACATTCATCACTGTACTCCCTTGTTCCCTTCTTTCAGGAAGAAGACCGCAAGCTGTTAGTTGGATTCCTGGAAGATGTAATGACCATGCTTTCACTGTCCCATGCTCCTCTTGATAGCCTGAAAGCTTCCTTTGTGGAACTAGGGTAAAGAATATACCTTGGGGTTAACTACATCTAAATACATTAGAAGCTTTTAGTAAAAGCTGCTGATCTATTTGTAATTTTAAACAACTGTGATGCTTTGGGTGAATAAAGGGTATACTTGCTTTTTTTCCCCTGATGTAAATGTAGTTTCTAGGTTAAAAATGTTGCAAAAATAAAATCTAAAGTGTAAAAGAGGAACACCAAAATCCAAACAAAAGATTTCCACAAAAACAACTCATTGAGAAGGCAATGGAAATTGATTTTGTATTTACCATACTATTGTCATTTGTTCTAGGTATGTGTTTGCTTTTGATAGAATTCATTGAAAATTATGTTCTTAAAGTTGAGCTTGGGGTTCTTTTAATTAACTGGAAAAAGGAACATATTTTCTAGACTGCGACATGTTGCAAGTCTTTCAGAATAAGTATTTTGTATCCTTCAGAAAGGATAGATGCTGGAGTTTTAGATTTGTTGAACGAGGAATTCTTAAGACTGCATTTATTGGGTAAAGAACATACCCAAGTCTTGGCAGTATTTTTGTTTGATCAATTGCCCAACTGTTTTGTTCTAGTGCAAACCCAGCTTATCATGAGCTGCTATTAACTGTTTTGTGGTATGGAGTTGTGCATACTTCTGCTCTTGTTCGGTGTACAGCTGCTAGAATGTTTGAGGTAAGTGTTGTCCAAACTGTTTTTCACTTTTTTTAAACTAGAGTTTATTTTTTAAAACAGGGGTTAATCAATGTTGCTACATTCTTGATAATTACAAACAACTTAAATAAGCTGTGTACTGTGTGATGGAGCAGGAGGTTGTTGTTCAGCTGTTTCTGTATCTGTTGTCTGTTGAGCAGCACATCTTTTATAGGTCTGTAGTTAGATACAGGCATCTCTGAGTTTTAACTTCTGCTTTTGCTATTCAACACATCATCAGTAGTCTAATATACAGCTTACTATTTTCAGTAGGTCTTGTGTATGCTCATACAATGCACTTGCATTGCAATTCAAACTAGTTTTCTTTGTACCAGATATGGTGGTGAAGACACACATGTAACCAATTTTATATTTTTTGTAGAAATTAAAAGAATTCAAAAAGAATTTACATTTACTTTACTTGCCTCATAATGGCAGCGTCATTTTTCCCTTAATATCTATCAATTTTGATCAGAATAAAGACTGAAATGTATACCTAGTAAGTTTGCTTTTCTTTTCACATCATGCCTTTGTTTCATCAAATGTTAATTTTAAAAAGCATATGCAAAAACTCTGGGACATACTCCATTGGCTGAACAAAGAGAACTTCCTGTCCTTTGCGTGTTAGATACACATATTTCTAATCACCATTACTTTTCCCTTCTCTTTTTTTGGGCATTTTTCCATATATGTCTCATTTGGATAGCTTTGGAGGGGACCTCTAGCTGAACCTGACATCTTGTGTCCATTTGCAAAAACTAATCTGAAGTCTGCCTCAGAAAAAAAAGCACTTAACATATCCATCAGCTTTCTTTAGTGACACTCTGCAAGTCAGTGCAGAGAGAGCAGTAAATAACCGCAGCAAGCTCCATCCTGAGACTTCAGTTGAAAACATCCAACAATGTCCTTTTTTTCCGGTTTGTTTGGGGTTTTTCTTCCCCTCATTTTAAAAAGGAAATGGCCATTTTTGGACACTGTTACAATCTATTTGCATGTTTTCCCTCTCACAAAAGCATTTCTTATATCCTATTTGTAATAATAAGCTCTTTTTCCCTAATAAATATTCGCCAAACATATGAAAAGCCTCAGTTACAACAGGCTGTTGTCTTGGTTGCAGCTGCTTTTCAAACTCAGCTGATTGTTGATTATTTTTAGGCAGTCTATGCATGCTATTTCATATCTTGTTTCTTTCCATATTACAATTTTTACCAAAGCCTAGGCAGCTTTCTTTTAAATGCTTTTCTTACTTGAAAATAGTAGTATATTGCTGTTTCCTGGATAGCCATGGCATACATATGTATACAGGGTATTATGTAAATTTGGGAAGTCACCTGTGCAAAGAGGTAGTAATAACTGGTTTCACTACTGGAAGATTCCATCACTCAAGGAATTTCTGTAACCTCAGAGGCTGCTGAATGGCAAAGCCCAATGATTAGATAATGGGATGACGGGTATGTGACCTGCAGGACAGCTGTATGAGAACAGTGAAGATTCTGAGCAGCACAGAGACTGCAGGCCCGACTGCTTTTCCAAACATCTGCAGTCTGTTAAGGGTTGGAAGGACACAGAAGTGATGTGGGGCCTTTCCACTCCCTCGCTCCTTTGGGGCTGGAATCTTTGTGCTACCATTTTTAAGCTGTAGTATGTATAAGTAATTATCTAGAGGAATCAAAAAAAGGTAACAATTTACGTTGTCTGTCTCACTCTAACTTTACATGCTGCTACACGGCTCTGCCCACCCAGCTGTTCCTGTTGCTTCTGTATTAATGTTTGTAGTCAGCAGCTTCCCATTTGAATGTTGATGCAAACAGATTTGATTGCTCTGGTTTGAATGTGGATAAGTATAAGTTGACTTATACATAAGCTTTGCTAGTCTGTTTGGGTTCAGGGCTAGGAACACATCTTCAGAATGACACTTGTACTATAAAGCATGTTTTATTTTCTGTATGACGGAATGCATCTGTTCACCATGCTTTACCATACTTAAAAATGTGGCAGACCAGACAGGAATGAAGCTGAGATCATTCTAAATTATTTGCTAATTATACAAATCCCAAGTGTTTGGGGTTTTTTTTTTCAAAGCACTGTATAACTGCTAGGCTTTTCTCTTAAAGAAGATTAGTAAAGAAAACTCAAGTCTCTGTGTGTCCAAGATTGCAAATTATAAGCAATCTCTGTTTTAATAAATGTGGAAATTAGTAAAGCTATATGATAGTAAAACCATCATAAGCAAACTGTGAGCTATGTCCTTAACAGCTGAAGAGTAGCCCATGAACTCAACAGATTGGCACTTGGAGTTGTTGCCAATGTAAATAATTGTGAAATGTATTAATGTTAAAATGTTGTAGTTGAACTGACATCCTAATACTTTCTGAATAACAAGTATAGGATGTTGCAACTTTGCTACTCCAGGTGCTTTGCAGCAATAGTGTCTCATGTTCTTACACAGCTTCTCCCTGTTCTTCCTTCTCCAGTAATTGTCGGTGAGGCCACACTCTGTTCCATGTCTGTGTGCACTCATGCATGCACACACATACATGCACACATAAATGTTGCTTAATAGGAGTGACTCCTTTATATAGAAGCTTTAGAAAAGTCAGGCTCCTTTGAATATTTTGCAGCTTACTTTGGTTTAAATTCAGAGCTGGTAGAGCAGGAATGCTCTAACAAATAGCAGAATGTAAAATCTTCTCTAGTTAGAGGATGTAAATACTGTCTGGTTTTGGTACTGATATACTGACAGCTACTGCTTTTTGCTGGGGAGTGGCTTAGAATTTAATTTGTGTTCATTATGAAATATGAGTAATCAGAATATAGCTAAATATTAAAAAGACATTTCATAATTCTCATATAAACTTACTGATAAGATTTTTAAATTCATCTCCTAAAACCAGCAAATATATGCAGACTTACTTACATGAGACACAAAATGGAAATACCTAATCTTTCCTCATTTTATTAATGAAGACAAAATTCATCATTTTGTTGAATATGAAAAAAGTATGCAACTTGGTTTGGAAATTAGTGGGTTTTCATATGAAGAAAGCAGGTAATGGGCATTTGCAATATATGCAGCAAATGCTTGTGTATAACTACATATGTAAGGTAAAAAAATCACCTGGGAACATCTGGATTTAAACAACCTTGTTGTGTTCATGGATAATGAGTTTTACTGTGATTTCAAGCTTTTAGCGTTTGGGATGCACAGCAACAAATACATCTCTTCCTTAGTTTGCAAAAAATCTTGAGGAAATACATTTCATGGATAGTTCAAGGATTCTCCATTTTCTCCCTGCACAGACCAGCATGCATATTGTTTGGATGGTTGTTGAATATCAAGAAGTCCTGAATGATTTTCAGGAAAACATTTTGGCATCTGGGAAGGTGCTGTTTGTCTCATTGTAAAAGGTGTGAGAGGTATCACTCAGTGTGGGAAAATCTACACACATTTGGCCTAGTCAAGACTTGTGTGTTGCATGTGACAGCCACCTACTATGATAAATACTGTTGTGTTGAGTTAGGAACAGCGTTTACATGAAATCATCAAATTCAAATTGACATCGCTTTAGCACTTAATTATACATAACTTTATTTATAGTTATAATTGTATCTGAAATAAAACATGCAATTACTGGCTAAAGGTTTGAGTTCAAATTTTAAAATATCTGAAAATAAAGAAAACGTTGAATTCATCATGTTTGTGCTGACTGCCAGATCACTTTAGCTTTCTTCATGCCTTTGCAGTTATGAAGCTCTAGTGTAGCAGTATTTGCTTAGCTTCTAATTTTGGTTTGCTTTTTGTGTTTTTTCTTTCTCTCTCTTGGTTTTGCCGTTCTTCTTCCCATGATACTGTGCTCGCTCTTTCCGTGCATCACCTGTGATACCCCCCTGTTCCGACCACTCAGCTGTTGGTGAAGGGGGTACATGAGACTCTGGTAGCTCAGAGAGTTGTTCCTGCTCTCATTACTCTCTCCAGTGACCCTGAAATGTAAGTTCCCTGACTGTCTTATATACCTGGCATCCCTCTTAATACTTAGAAAAAAATAACCATCAGTTATGTCTCTTAATCTAGCTGAACAGAAATTGAATTACTTTTAAAGGAAAGTAACCTTTAAATCACTTATTTCCAAATAAAAAGGTTTACTGCAACATCTAGAATTAAGCTGTATAAAAATTCTGAATGAACTTGAAAGAGAAAACTTAAATCCATGTAATTACATTTTTGTTTTTATTTAATCATGTTCTCAGTTTTCAAATTTACTTGCATCATTTCTAGCAGAAAGCTGGATACTACTATTCTGTAATGCTATCTGCTTTGCTACTGCAAAATTAAGTATCATCTGCATTAATGAAATGCAGAGTACTTTTGGCTGCATCTCATTTCTGATAGACAGCCGTTGCACTTCATTTCGTGGACATTCTGATGTGGTATTTCTTTCAAGCTAAGGAGGGGTGCTTTGCTAATCTCACTAACAACTTGTTACTAACAGATGCTCCAGCATGAATAGAGTCTTAGTGGCTTTAATGTCTTGTGTGGGTGACTAAACCAAGAACAACCCCAAGAGTCTGCCTGCCCATCCTCAGTCACAGCTAACCCAGTTCTTCACGTTTACCAAAGCGTTTTTTATTGCATGTTGACTGGTTTACAGCTGGCTCTTCGAGGCATGAGCGAAGCGTTAGTTGACAAGCGGGTTGCTCCGGCCCTTGTTACCTTGTCCAGTGATCCTGAATTGTGAGTTTCAGACTGAGACCTTGAGTTAATCGTGTCTTTTTCCTGGTCTGCTTTTTTTTTTTTTTTTTCTCCCTTTGTCATTGCTAGAAACTAATGTAACTTAAAAGTACTAATTTTTTTAATTTTTATATAAGTAATTTTGTTCTTTGTGTTGATTACATCTCAAAGACCCTGTTTTTCCATTGTAGTTCAGTAAGGATTGCTACAATCCCTGCTTTTGGGACCATCATGGAAACTGTTACTCAGAGAGAGGTAAGACACCTGTTGTCACCTATGTTTTTGTAGCATAAGAAGAGAATGATTTTTTTAATAAATCCAGAATAAAAGAGCAAGTAATAAATTCTTTCTTTCTGTCTTTCTTTCTGTCTTTCTTTCTGTCTTTCTGTCTGTCTTTCTGTCTGTCTTTCTGTCTGTCTGTCTGTCTGTCTGTCTGTCTGTCTGTCTGTCTGTCTGTCTGTCTGTCTGTCTGTCTGTCTGTCTGTCTGTCTGTCTGTCTGTCTGTCTGTCTGTCTGTCTGTCTGTCTGTCTGTCTGTCTGTCTGTCTGTCTGTCTGTCTGTCTGTCTGTCTGTCTGTCTGTCTGTCTGTCTGTCTGTCTGTCTGTCTTTGCCATATTCTTTTCCAAAGTGCTTTTGGGTTTTGCAATGGACTTTTTTTTTTCTCTCTAAACAAACCAACCCTTGTAACTAATAAAAACATTTCCTTCTAAATCTCAACCAAACATAAACAGAGACAGATAAGTAGAGGGGAGGCCTGTGCTAGAAGATGGGAAATCCCATGCTCAAAATGGTTTTTTTTAAACCTTCTCCAGCACAGTTGTGAAATCTAACTCCATTATTTCCAAATGAAATAGTTATATTTTAAAATGGTGACCAAAACCATCCACATATTGTGCTATTGTATACTGTACTTTTTTAGATGATTTAGGGTATCCTGCTTGGCTCCCAAATACTTTAGAAGAGCACAAAACTCTTGTTGTTCCAGCTATATCTGCTGGTTTAGCCCTTGGTGTCCAAGATGGCACTGAAAGACATAGTAACATCAGCAAAGTATTCCTTGAAAATAATGCAGAGATGCAGTTCCTCCTCATTTATTAAATGATGATACTATGGTAATAGATGAGAATTCTGAAGACAGTCAGGATTCTGCTGTAAACAGTAGAAAACTGGATTTTGTTTCATGTAACAACTGTGCAATAGCTTTTCTTCTGGAAGTCCTTGCAGCTTTTTGCAGAGCTTGCATTCTTCCCGTAATTTCAACATATTCTAAAAGAATGTGTTTGAGGAAATGTGAGTAATGTGAGTCAAGTCAGTGATGACTCACACGTACTTGGACGATGGAAAAGTTAGAATTTTGCAGCTTGGAATGCATGCCTATAATCAGTTGGGAAGAATATTGTTTTGTTGCCACACAGAAATTACTGTATCCATTGCACTAATTATGATAAGCCTTAGAGTACAGAGGTGAGAGCACCTTCCGAAATATATCATAAAATGTTACTTTTTCAAGCTTGAATCCAAATTAAATGCCTATCTCATTTTCAGTTTTCTAGCCTTTAGTTGAAGAAATCTTTGTAATTCCATTGATTTTATGATGGTTACTTTTGCATCTCTGTCCTCTACAAAAAAAAAAAAAAAAATTCAACCTATTAATTGAGATACATTACAAAAAAAGCTATTAATTGATTTCTAATTAAACAGGAAAAGTCAATAGTTATTAGTTATTAAGTAAGAGGGAAACTGTAATAGCAGGAAAAAAAAGTTATTATCAGGCTCAAGGAAACCTCAGGAGGAAAGATCAACTATATGGGAGCACCTGTCTGTTGTTAAAAGATCAGATTAAAACTCTGGTAACAGTCTTTAAAACATAGAGGTGCATTAAAGAGTTTGAAATATCCTTTTAGAAGACATCTGTAAATTAGAAGAAAGTCCAAGATCATCTGAAATACAAAAGATTGTAAATTTTCTCTGAACTGATCATAACAGTTTCTAACATCTTGATTCTTTTGTGTTCTTTCTATTTCTCTGGGAATATTAAAGCTTCTGGAGAGAGTAAAAATGCAGCTGGCATCTTTCCTGGAGGACCCTCAGTATCAAGACCAACATTCTTTACATACAGAAATCATAAAAACATTTGGAAGAGTTGGACCTAACGCTGAGCCCAGATTTAGAGACGAATGTAAGTTGCATCCATGGGAAGATGCAGTCTTCTTCTCTCTGTCCAAAAGCTAATAGGTATGCTGGTTACATTGATGGGGTTTTTCTTTCTTTTCTGTAAACTATTATTATTTCAAAGGTACTCCAAAGTACCTTTTTATTTTAGGTGGTGCTACCACACATTTTTGTTTCAAGTTTGAGTCAATCCATTGAATGTGCAAGGTCAATCCCATCAAAAGCAATTGCTTGCTGTTCTTATTCCATGCTGATACGTGAAGTTTCAGATGCCTGCATTTGTCACATAGCACCTCTTCAATGCTAAACAAGTCTGTGGAAATCAGTTTCATATACTTACTCCTGTATTTACTTTTCCAGTTGTTATTCCACACTTGCACAAGTTAGCCTTGGTCAACAACCAGCAGTCTGTTGATTCGAAGAGATTGGATATCGCTACCCACCTGTTTGAGTCCTACAGTGCTCTGTCCTGTTGTTGTATCCTTTTTTCAGGGGAAATCTAGCTGTTATTTCTCTGGTGGTGAGAGAAGCTTAATATTAGAGAAATAACTGAGTTTGTCTTTGAATCTGTGGTATAAAACGTGATCTATTCAACATAAGGGGGAGGTTTTCAGAGGTGGTGAATATCGTGGATTAGCTGGACACCAGGTGCCCCCCAAGCCACTCTTCTTCCCCTCCTCAGCAGGATGGATGAGGGTGGGGGAGAAAATCAGATGGAAATAAGATGATTTTCAGGGCTTCAGCACTTGTAGCAATCGCTCGAGAACACAAACATCATAATAACAAATGGTCTCCTGCCCTGCCACCACCACTTTCTCCTAGTTTTGGTATCTGAATAGGCATCATATGGTGTGGAACATCCCTCTGGTCAGTTTGGGTCAGCTGTCCAGGCTGTGTGCTCTCCCCCAGCCTACTGATGCGGGGGAATGCTGAGAGACAGCACCAATGCAGTAGTCTAAGCGCTGGTGTGTTACCAACACCTTTCTAGGTATCAGTTGGAAAGCACAGCACTGAGGACTGCTGTGCAGAAAATGAACTCCAGCTCAGCCAGACCCCATAAAGTGGAACTGATAGATATTTCAAAAAACAAAGCTAATAAAAACCCTCTTGATCTTAAACAATAACCCAAGAAAAAAAATCTTGAAATAATTATATGGATGAATGAAATACATGATGTTAAATAAGTTGAAGATCTTTTTTTCCTTTTTATTAGTCATGAAGTGTCAAATGCTGTTCCATTTTCTTAGTTTTGCTGCTGCCCTTGTGTTCCATAAAACAACATTATCAGAAGACATGAAAAAAAGTATAATTTCAAAAGGCAATCCTTACAATACCTTAACAACCTGGGTTTTAGTTATTTCAGAGGATTTAATGGTCAATCACTTTTTGCCAGGACTGAAGTGTTTACGAACCGACATGGAACATCTCTCTCCAGAGCATGAGGTGAGCAGTCATCTATATTTACTGAGTATGAGATGTAGGTAGCAGAAGTTGAAATGTGATGGCATTTAAAACCAGAAGTTAAGGAGAGCTGTTCATAAGTGGTTTCAAAACATGACATGGAGAAGGTTTCTTTGATAAAGAATAGGTCATATGATTTCAAAACCAGTAAAATCTTGTAAAATATATTTCTAAGCTGAGGATCTCTGCAGACTCAACTGTCAGAAATGCATGTCAAAACACAGATCTTCCTAGACTGAAGAAAAAGGAAATGTTTTTACCATCTTTATGTTAATCAAACCAAAGATGCACTAAAATCATTGGCTACAATATAATCAATGAAATGTAGATAAAAATTGTGGAGTGCCAGAAAGAAACTATTAAGGATTAGGGAAGTAGAGTCCTAAAATACCTGGGGCACACTTCCTATCTGGATTACTGTGTCCAGTTCTGGGCTGCCCAATACAAAAGTACGGACTTAGTGGAGAGAGTCTAGTGAAAGGCTGGAGGAGAAAATGATGGATCTGGGACTGTTCAGCCTGGAGAAGAGGAGGCTTAGGTGAATTTTATCAGTACCTGAAGAGAGGGTCCAAAGAGGACAGTGCCGGGCTCTTCTCAGTGTTGCTGAATGGCAAGACCAGAGAACGATGGCAAGACCAGAAAACGATGGGTTTTTGGGGATTTTTTGTGACAATGACTAAGCAGTGGCCCACGTTGTCCAAAGAGGTTGTGGAGTCTAAATGCTTGGATCAAAAGCCATCTGGACATGTTCTTCCTCGGCATTTGGCTTCAGGTGGCCCTGCTTGAGCAGGGAGTTGGACCAGATGATCCTCCAGGGGTCCCTTCCAACCTCCACCACTCTTTGATACTGTGAATTGTAAAGAGCAGATTAAAAGAAGCAGACAGGACAACATGGGTGTGAACGAGATCTTCTCTGGAAGGAGGCGCTTACAGAAATCAGCAAAAAACCCAAAAAAGTTAACAGAATAAACCAACTTAACTTGAAAATCTTGGCCATATGCACTTTTTTGGTAAGTACTTGAAAGGATGAATACTAACAGAGATTGAAACAAAGAGATGTTAAGTCAGTAGCAGAAATAAGAAGTGTTGTTTTGTTGCATGTTGGGGAAAATCTTAACAGCATGAACGTTTCAAGGGATAGAGGAAAAGATTTAATCAGAATGTACAGAAGAGTAGTGTTCTAGTCTTTGAAGGTTAATACTGCACTTTGATTAATTACTTCGTATGTGAGAAAATTATTTTATTTTCCTTGTATTTGCAAAAGTGACTGAATTTAGATGACTCTATTCTCTAGGAGTCCTAAGTTCTTATATTCAGTAACAAGGTTCCTTCTTCCAGTTACATTTGCCATCTAAAAGCCTATAGTATCAATCTTTTATTTTCTGTATATTATTACTGGAGGAACTTTTCAACCTGAAAGGACAGAACCTGAGTTCAGAAGGCTGAGTCAAAAGAAACAGCATCACTCAAAGGCCACAGCGTTGTGTTCCATACCATGGGCAGCACTGGAGGTGTAGCAATGATAGATCCTCTGTGTTCAGAGAGAGGTGCGAAATGGACTGGGAGGTCTTAAGCTTATATCTGAAAGCTGCAGTTAGGCAAAAGTTGCATTTTCTTTCACCAAGAAAATATAATCGGATAACTGATTGAATACTGGTACTTCATTTTTTAGTTAATGTAACTTCTAAAATTTAAAGACATAGTCAGTTCAAAAGATACCCTGAATTAGAACAACGGGTTTGATTGAGTTTGAATCTTGTAGTCAGAGAAAGAGCTGAGGACTGGAACAGGATTTAAAATAAATCGATAAGTAAAGACAGCTCTCAGTCTTCCATTACCCCATTCTGCATTACTGTACTTAATTGACTTCAGTCATGATGCCAATTGCTTTGGCTTTTTAGCCAGAGAGCAATATAAAATTGGAAATATTTACCCCTGCTCCAGTGGGTTAGAAAACTCACTACAGGCTTTACAGTTTTTATCCCTTTTCTTGTAGAAATGGATAGGTAGGGCTTGGTCAGCTTCCCACTTCAGTAGGATGTTTGTAGCCATCATGATAGAGGCTTCTGAGACCCAGTGAGTTCTAGTGTCTGTCTTGGAAGCCTTCAGTCTGAGAATCATGTTTTGTGAAATGAATGTCATTTACTGTCTCAAATAATTAGACATTTGCATAAACAGAATTAAGCCTTTTTTCACTATTTTGGCCTCTATGGTATTATTCAGATGGCTTATCACTTGACAAACACACATTTTCTAAATCACAGAGCCTTAGCTCTAATGGCTTTAACGTCAGTACCGAGTTTATGCTCATCTTGGAAGGGTAACATTGTGGAATTAGCTTGTGTGGTCCTGTCTGGCAGCATTTACCACTCATACCTCATACTTGTTTTCCTTTCTTTCATGTAAATAAAAGTGTAAGTTGGGCATTTAGGAATGCATTAGGGCATTCCTTTAAAGATGAGAAGGTTCTTATCTTTAAAGGAAACATTTTCTCATCTTTAAAGGAAACATTTCACCTTGTGCAGACACTCAGATACTTTACCAGCATCTGTAGTTCGATGTCAAGTCCCTTCTTCCTCATTTTCCACTTACCTTCTATGGGTTTTCAAAGTGAATTTGAGTTGCATGATAGTGAGTCAGTACTTGGTAAAAATATTTAGTCCATATACTGCAGTACTGTTTATAAGACTTCAGTATGTTAAGTCTCTTAAGTGTCTCTAAATATAGAGTTAGTGCTCTAAAATATTTCTCTTTAAGGAGATGTGATTTCATAATCAGTCCTATGACCAAACAAGGAGAATCCAAAGGAATAGGTCTGAGCAGTATGTGCAAAGCCATAATGTAGAAATTTAGAAATTAATTTGCGGAAGAGGCAAGAATTGCTCCACTTCATCTAAGAATTAGACAGCCATCCCAGCAGGAGCTGTGCAATGGATGGGTAAGCCATCCTGTTATTGAAATGATCCTGGGTCCTTGATGAATTATTCACCCCTTTGATCAAGGCTTCATATTGTTGATACTTGGAACATCTGGATTCAGATGTACAAAAATGTAGGAAAGTTCCAGTGCACAGGTGGAAATGATAAGTAACAAAAATTATGGTGACTGTGCTTGAAAATTTCAGGACTTTTTTGATACAGAACACAAAGCCTGTTTTTTCACTAGAATTCTAAATGTATTTTTGTTGTACCTCTGTACTCTTGAGCATTATGTATTTGTATAACTTTTTATGCAAATGGGGGACAGCAAATGTAGCAGGAAGAGTTCTAGTCCTGTTTGAATGCCGCTCTCTGAAACACTCAAGGGTGTGTAACACCTGCTACCTAAAATGTTTCAAATGCTGAAATCATACTTCTGGATAAATGGTGTGAGCAGTGGCACAGGTCTCCAGACCAGGCCACATCTTATCAGTGTAACTAATGGTTGTGCTGCAAACTTGACAGAAACCAGCATTTTAATTTATGCAAATACATTTTAAAATAGCTATCAGTTGGTAGTAACCATTAGTGACTGATCTGTATTTTACAGATTGAAAATAGTATTTTTCCTTTGTGTATATTCAGGTTTGGTAAGACAATACTAATTTTAATTGCTTGTAGCTTTGAGATTTTAAGTTCAGTATCTCAAAAAAGTATTTAGCTTTCTTCTGAGCTGTGGCAGAGGAACTTTCCATTTATGCAGTGTGTATATATGTGTGTATATGTATATATTTATAGTTTCATACTTTGCATTCTAACTTTTTTGCCTAAGTGTTGCAAAACTTGTCTTGGTTTGAAAAGACAGGTGTCTGCTAAGGAAGGCAGGAGCTTCTCTTGAAATGGAAAATGTAAACCCCCTCCCTCTGAATTCTTATAATTTTGAAATTAAGGGGCTCTCAGGCAAAGGTATGGGAGTAGAAATAACAGCTTTTTATTAGGAAAAGTAAAAATAAAAGTGTAGTAATACAAAACAACACTGACAGAGTCAGAATATGACCTGACACCCTGTTGGTCAGGGTGTTGGTAGCAGTCCCATTAAATGGTGGCTGCAGCCCTCCTGCAGTGACAGATGTGGTTCCGTTGTAACAATGGGCCTGTGGAGGGGGTGTAGTTTTCTTCTGAAGGTCCAGTGGTGGTGTAGATGGGCCTGGTCTTTCTCTGGGAATCCAGTGGGAAAAGGCTGCCTGTGGTGTTCCAAATCTCAGATTATATCCAGGTAGGACTGCTTGGCTCCTCCCCTGGACAGATCATCTCACACTGGGATGATGTAATTTTATCAATCATGCAGTGAGATTCAATGGCCCGTCAACAGGAGATATCTCCTGGAGGGAGGATGGGTTGTGGAAGAGATAAAGAAAACTGCCCTGTTAACAGAAGATAACTTCTAACAGATGGCAGTAGAATACACAACCCCTGCCACATCTTGCATTTGCAGCCTAAGACAAAACACTTTTGTCTTAATGTGTTAAAACAGTACTGTTGTGAACAGGGAAGGGAGTCATTTATCTGTCCCATGAATTAACTGTATAATATTGTTTTAAAGACTGCTATTGGGAATCATTTCCTTATTTTTGGATAAGTGTAAAAATGTCAGTGTGGAGGTGTCTTCAGTCTTAAATACTCTGCAGAAACCTTTAACACTGTACTTGCTTAAATAAAAGGAAAAAGCCATGAGTCATAGGAACTCTGGAAGACACCAGTGGAATGGTATCAAGTTCATTTTAGCACTTCCTTCCATTAAGATGTTGTCCTAGGAAACCATCACACTTTTTTCTTTACTTACTTTTTCTTTGATACGTAATGTTCATGAAGATACAGTGTGTCACAGATGTGGGATTGTTTTAGTGCTGTTTTTAAAAGCCTGGGGCAAAAGGATGGAGTCCTGAACTTCTGTAACTATTTGGAAAACATTTTCTTCCTTAAGTTATTTTGAATTTTTTTGTTGTTTCTAACTGCAAAGCATTATCAGATAACTGGAACTCAAAGGCACTTGATTAAAACGGAAATGTTTTAAACAGTTCTGCTAATGTCAGAATTATTTGCAGAGTAGATTTCATAAGAAGTGTTAAAGGAAAAATGTCATATGTCATGTATCTCTCTTCCTTATGTGTCTTAGGTTATTTTGAGCTCCATGATAAAAGAATGTGAACAGAAAGTGGAGAACAAGACCGTCCAAGAACCACAAGGGTAAGACTTCCACTTCCCTTTTTCTGTGTGCCTCCAGAGTAGTGTTCCGCAGAGTGTATTCCATAATGGTGTCCAAGGTTTGTGACCTGGAATTCTGCACTGACATATGATGTATTTGAAAACAGATTTTGGAAACTTTAATACAGTGGTTGTTTCTGTCTCCAGTGTAAAACACGAGACAACAATTATTTTTATAGGAATTATGTTCTTGGTTCTTAATTTTTTGTTCATTTAAAGCTGTATTAAATTTCTGTCCTGAATCTGAGGAATCAGGGAGTGCCTGGCCTAAGTGCTTAGAGCAGCCTATGTAGCAGACACTTTGCCACCCATGGGGGTGGCAACCTGCAGACTGAGGGTCCTGGTTCTGGTGCTGGGAGGGGCTTGCTTCAGGCTGCTGTCCTGGTTTCCACAGGACTGGTGCACACAAGAGCAGTTTCTCCAGTGTATAAACTAACCCCCGTGTAAGTGTGCTGGTTGGGCAGCAAGCTGACTTTGGGAAAATGCCATCTGTGTTGCACTGTGGTAAAACACCCTTTCCACAAACACAGAGCAAACCCAGCTCTCCAGGGAGGCAGCAGACACACAGTGCACATGCATCCATTTGCTTCACCTGTAGAGATGGTGTCATTTGTGTGCACTTCCTGATAACAAAAGTAGCCAACAGACCCACCTTGGATTTAGAAATTGGAATGCTCAGTGTCATTATGCTAAGTTGTATGTGCCCTTTTGCCTGCTTATTGCCTGGAATGGCATGCCAGCAGGTAAATTCTTGTGGATTATTATATAACTTAACAAATCCTTCGCAGTGTTGCCAAGGAAGTGTGTGAGGAGGTATCTGAAAAGAGAATCTGTTCTCAATCCCAATGCTTTTTCAGGAGAATTGAGACAATTACTGAAGCTTGTTCATGTCATGCTTCCTTATCTGTAAAAAACTTCTAGAATTTACTTCTTGAAAGAGCTCACCCATAGTCCTGGAAGCAACTGGTAGTCTGAGAATGATTAAAATAAGAAAGGTGTACAAGAACTCAACACAAGAAATGTAAAGTAGAAAAAGGGTCAGTCTCTCAGGCACCAAGTAAAATACTTCAGGCTTTACTAGTAGTAAATACTTTGAAATGACAGGCCTATTAAGGGGTTGCAGAAACAGAGAAATGCAAACCTCATACAACATCTAATGTATTTTCTTTATGAATGCAGCTGCTGAAAACTAAGATATGAAAAGGATAAGTCTTTGCAGTCTGTTCCTTTGTTCTTTAATTAGCCTTCCCCTTTCTTATTCAACGTCAGACTATGGTTGTAATCTTGTACTGTATAAAATTAACAAGAAATATTTTACCACTGAAGAAATGACCTTTTCATATACGTAAATATCTCTGTTTTCTTGCTAAGTGCTTGCTAATTTCAGTTCCTAATTTCAATGACAAATACATATTTGACAAAGGATTTAAATACAACTGGTGGGGTTTGTTAACAGCACGGCAGTGCAGGCACAGAAAACAAAATGGGTGCAAAAGCAATCTTCTGATGTTCTTATGTCTTTTCCCCTTGCTGTTAGAAAAACTTGGTCAATAATATGGGATCAATGAAATAGTTTTTTCAGAAGATTAAACTTGGCAATTTTAAATGTTGTACACTTTTGTTAAACATTTTGTTTAGCAATTAAGATGATATTTTAATCATGGATAACATATGACAAACTGATTGCTATAAAATGCCCATTAAGAATGTTTGTTTTGGCCTAGAGTTTCCCCATAAAACAGGCAGAACTCTGTGTAGCATCTGATTCATCTAGACACCAGGAAAAATTTTATATTTACACATTATTTTTATTTGTGGGTTGCGTTTTGTTTTGCTTTTTAAATAATGGATTGTTTTAACCAAGATATATTATTGCTTTGTTGGGTTCTTTGATTACTTTTTAAAGATGTGAGACTCAAATCATTTGATTTCATATTAATTTTTGATTTAATTTTTGCTATGTTTAAATATTCAGTTTCCACAGTAATGGAAGTATTTTGGAGGCTATTTTTTTTTTTATTTAAACTTCTAAGTATGCAGGATGCTGTGGATTATGTTTCTGTTTATAGTAACAGTACTAGAAAACATGAACTTCTAGACTCTGTAGTTGTTGCTGTTTAATTTTTGACATCAAATGGCTGATATCCCCCAAACCGTTTCAAGAACCAATGGAACACCTCCTTGTTTACCTCAGTCTTATTCAGGATCATTAGACTAATGAAAGCACAGTTTATTTAGAACTACAGGTTTGTCACCAATTGCTAGACTTTCTTTTCTGAAGTGAGCCGTTTTATTTTCTTGATGCTGCTAATGCTTGGAATGTACAGTATTTCCCAAATAAGTTTTTGTAGCTACACACAACTCTAGGGTACCTCATAGTCCGAGACAGCTTCTTGTGCTTAACTAGCTGATAGTGAGTGTAAACTGTTACTTACATAATTTATATGCCCTTGCTTTATCATGAAATCAAAGGAAATTGCAAAAGGCATCCATCTTACTGTAGCAGTCATTTCCCAGATGAGTTTTATCAGCTGGAAATATGTGATTCATTAGTTGACTGGAGATGTTTAATCAAGCCAAAGATGTCTGGCTACATGATTGTGCCTGAAATAAATATTTTACTTTAAAAGTTTATAATTAAACTATTTGCAAATCCACAATACAGCTTTAGTGAGAATCTTCCCTTTTATTTTGAGGTACTTTAAAAAGAACCAGAAATCATTACTAAGCACCTTTTTTCTGTAGTGTGCAATGGGAGAAATTACTGGGTGTATCCCTTCTACCTTCAAAGAAATCATTCAAGTTCTGTTGAAACAATTCAGAGTTAACTTCAGTTTTATCTCCTTGATGCAAGTGTGTCTAACAGAACTGTTTATAACTTTTCAGACTGAAAAGTCAGTTCCTGGAATCTGGCCTTTGCAAGTAAGACAGATTTTGTGGTCCTAGCTATAATTTTGAAATGCAGAGTCCACGCTGAGTTCACTAGGGATAATTTATTTGGTAATGTTTTCTAAAATTGTCCTCGTCCAGTGTTGATAAAACTTGCCATTTTGACTACAAATATAGGAAGTATGGAATATTTGTTAATATTCCTGCTATGTATATTTGTTCTGTCTTGAGACAGACGACTCCTACTGTGCTAAACAATTTATATATATCTGAAGTTGAGGTCACTGATATGTTGTTAATTTTTTAAAAAATTTAAATTAAAAAAAAATTAAATTATTAAATATTATTAAATATGTTAATTTCACATAATAGGGATAATTTCTTAACATATTATTCAAAGCTGAGCATCCTGTAGCTTCAGCATTGATGGATTGCTCCTTCCAGTCCAGTTTGTGGGAAACCTATCAACTCTCCATTGGCCTATGTAGTGTGTCTCAATTAGGAACATCCAAGCACAGGTAACAGGAGCCACATTCACAACAACCAGAAGAAGCAGCTCCTTACCCAGCAAGGGGCTGACCCAGTAGGGCTCAGGGTTTGCAAGAAATTTATAAGGAGATCAAAGGAAAGCTGATCAAGTAATATAAAATAAAGATTTATTGAGAGTTACTAGGTTGACAGTCCTCACCATTTTTTAACTCTGTTCAGGTGGAAGTAGTTGGAAAATAAAGAGCTGAAAATTAAGGAGAGAGGTCACTGTTTTGTACTTAACTTGCTTTTGCTCATCTCTACACGTCTGCTAATGTCACTGTTGGAGGCAGGATACTTGGGTTTGAATGGTCTGTGTCTGAACTGATTCTGGTGAACTTACACTAAATAAACACAAGGATTGACATTTCTGGTGAAAAGGCTAAGCCAGTCTTTCACAGAGGTAGTTGTCACAGCAATTCCCCAGTAGTTAGCGAATGCTAATGTGATGACATCCAAAGGTACTAAAAACTAGTGCACAAAAATATTTTGCCATTTTCACAGGCACTGTGAGCACATTATAATAAATTTAACAGTGTATACATGGACTAGGTAGTGATGGATTTTCAGTTCTTCTTCACAGACTGGTCTTTTTTGTTGAAACCTCTGCAACACAAATACTTAATAAATAACAACATAATGTTCTTTTTAATTTGTAGTCTCATGCCACTAAATGTTTTCCTTTCCTAGCTCGATGTCAATTGCAGCGAGCCTGGTAAGTGAAGATACAAAGACCAAGTTTTTGAACAAAATGGGCCAGCTGACTACATCAGGTGCAATGTTGGCTAATGTGTTCCAGAGGAAGAAGTAAGATGGGAAAAGGAACTCCGAGCTAACACTAAGGTGGACCTCACAGAGACTAGTTCCTGTACTTGAAGTACTTGCCTTTTAATTTCTTCTGTCTTATGTTCTTGTAGTATAATTTTATTCTAACCTCCAAAGATATTTGCACTGCTTTTGAATATCGCTGTGTATCTGTTAATTTTGGGTTAACTGTGGTTGATACAAAACTGAAATCATAGTCTGTACCAAGTCCCTGTTCTGTGTTCTTGTCTTTCCAGCATATTTTTTTTATATAGTGGAAGGTTTTGGTTTTTTTATTTTCTGACAGGATATCAGCAAATATCTGTATTATACATGGAGCTATTCTGACGGTACTTAAAATAATGTAAATTTGAAGTCATTGTCATGAAGTAATAAAAGTGGAGATTACTTATGTATTTAAATTATGAGAGAGTAATGCAGATTTTTTAATTATGTTTCTAAAAAGAAGAGGAAGAGCCACCAGCATTTGTCTGTGCTTCTAGGGTTGTTTTTGTAAGTATTGTGCATCTTGAATCCAGAGGAATTGCAGTATCTTATGTACGAGACTGCTTGCACTGCATCAGTCTGCAGGGAATGCTCATGTTTCACATGCTTTATGCCGACATTGTAAATGCTGTACAAAGTCCTTCAGATAAAATTCTCACATCTATGTGGTTTTTTGGGGGATTTTTTCTTTTGTAGGGTTTTTTGTTTTATTTTAAAGCACTTTACAAGTCTACACATCCACAGGCACATCCATTAAGTAAAAGAAAAACATGATAAATTAATAAATGTTTATAAATGTGTAAGCTACTACACAGGGTCCCCAGTACAGTTCTGCAGGCAGGGGAAACCTTATGCAGGAGAGAGACAGCTTTCTTCTTGCACTCAGTGTGCAGTTCTGTGGACTGTGGAAACTAAAGATATTTTGTTGTTTAGATTGAATTTCAGTTCAAATTTAATTTTGGAGTGTTTGACATTATGCTGAGTTTGACGTGCTGAGTTTCTTTAAAATGTTAAGTAGACTGCCTACATACTTTTTGAAAATGACATTACAGGGAGTATATTCGACTACCAAATATTTTTGTTAGTAAGGAAGAATTAACAACTAAATCCTTTTCTTCCTATACAGCACTTTTTTTCCCCCTCTTTATGTCAGTGTAATCTTCTGAAAGTAAACTCAAGTGCATGCATGAACTGGTATGAGGTAGCAAAATATAAAAGCTCAGGTGTTCTCTGACACGGTACCATTCAGCTGGAAGTACAGACATTTTTGAGGACAGGGAAAGTAAAAAGGAGCAAGAGAATGAAGTGTTCCCCCCAGAAAGAGGATATAGATGGAATAACAGGTCGGGTATCACCCTTAGATGGAGATAATGGAGATAACTTGAGGCTTCTGCCTGCTTCGTGTCTGTGCTGTTGGCTGTGCATACGCTGTTCCTGCCACAGCTGTGTTGTGACAGGGCCTGCTGCTCACGTGCGCGCCGTCGGTCCCCTTGCACTGCACTGATGGAACATTTCTCTGGAGGTCACAGACTGCTCCATGCCTTCGTGTTGCTCGTTACCATGAAAGTACGCTTTTAGCAGACTGACTGTGAAATAGAGACATTCCTGAGGAATGGGAAGTGGTGACGTTCCTCTCTATTGTTCTGTTGTCAATAAAAAGTTTTGTATACCTGCCTTGTCTTGTTACTTCTCTCTTCTCTGAAAAAGATAATCACATCAACAGAGCTGTTACAGGACACATGTCTAATGCACAGAAATTGTTTAGCCTTAACTCTTTTTACATAGCAGGTGGTAGACTGAACTTGCTCAATTTCCTTGGCTCCTAGACCTGTGGCTTTACTGCCATTTTCGTTCAGGGTCTCCTCCTATGTCTCCTGTGCCACAGTTGTATTTTGGATTTTTCTTCTCCTTCTCTTTTCTGACTTCTCAAGCAGTTGCAGTGCCAGAAACAACTTTGTAGTCATGAGACTGAAATAACAGGTCCATGGTTAAGCTGCTGCTTTTTAAAGCAGGGCGGCTGCCTGTGAGAGCGGCTGCTCACCTATGCTGAACTTCATCCACTGTTTGGAAAACTCGCGAATTCACACAAGCCAAAAAACTGTGACAGCAATTGAACTGTGGAGAGGGATGAGACTCTTTAGTTTGTTAGTATAAGTGTAGCATCTTTACCCCCATAGGGTAATAGGTCTAATGTCTCCAGCCCCTTGAAAAGTGTAGCTCTTGCTATTCACGGTTGTATTTCACACCAGTTGTAGAAATTTGAGTGAGGATCAGAGGAAGACCAGCACAGTAACTACTGTGAGAAAATTACTGTGTAGGCAGCAAACTTCCAATGCAGGCTGTCTTCAGGAGTTTTGCCTCCTAAATTTCAGGTCTCTGTTAGTATATGTTGTTGCAGGAGTTTTTCAGTGTATGTTTTAAAATATGAACAGACTTTTAAGATTTCAAGTTGGTCCGTGGCGGGGGGCTTGGTGATTTTTGGGCTTTTCTGATTATTCCTCCTAACTCTGTCACTATAGCATTCAGGACTGGAAAATAAAAGACCCGTTTAATGAGAAGAATTTCCAGAATATTTGAAATTAACCTTTCCCCCCCCACACACACACCCTTTCCTGTTATTATTCAAAATAAGTGAACCTTTTGGGAGAAAATGTTCTGTTAAAAGAAAGCAGTTCATCCTCTAAGGGTTGTCTTCAATTGCTTATGGCTCTGCCTGAGAAAGGATTCTGTAAAAAACCTAAATGTTTGCTCTATTGGCATTGCCTGAACTTTTTCAGCTTGTTAGCTTTAAATGTCAAAGGTCTCATGCTGCCCCTAGTGAAGTTTCAGACAAAATCTTTGTATCTTTATTTAAAATATTGACTCTTGTGTTCTTAAAGAAAAGTGATCAGTGGGCTGAAGGTACCTGGCTGCCTCAATATATGTTCTCTGTAGATTAAGCATAAAGCTAATTGGTATTATGCCTATATTTGGTTCTGAAAGATTATTTTCTAGAACTCTAAATCAGGCAAATTGTTCTTTTTGTATCTTCTAAGCAAGGTGAATAAAGGGAACTCCACAAAAAAAGGCTGCTCAGTCTTCTTCTATTAATCTCTTCCTACTCCCCTACGGCACCAAGAAGAAAAACAATCCTGCTATTTCTGTACATGAAAGTATATTCTGGGTAGGAGAACTAAAAGCAGTGTTTGAAAGGATTTGGGGCTAGAAAAGGTGAGGAAGCTGATGGATTGCAAGATTAAAAATTATCCTTGAAAAAAATCTGTTGTGAAGACAAGGAGTTTTTATAATATATTGTGGGAATTCATTGCTACATAGTGATAAGATAATTCAAAAAGATTCTGCAGAAAGTAGATTTGTGGGATATTTCTGCTCTCTGTTGTGACACTGTTAATGGCATTTCTCTGTTGCAGGAGTCAGTGGCTCTATATTTTAGTGCATTTATGAAGGTGGGTATAATGCATTCCAAATGTTTTAAGTAATTTCCCGTATGGAATTTACTGATGATGATATTTAAGTAAACCATGAAGTCCCAGCACAGGTTCATGGAGCAGAAAGTCACTGACGTGTTGATACAGCAAACTGATTGGCATGGCACTGATCCAAGGTGGAATCACAGAAGTTTGCATCAAATGTTAAGTGCTGATGAATAACAAGAATGAAGGCAACAAGATTTCAAGGAAACTGGTTCACTGCTTTTCAGAGTGAACATTTGGCTAATGTTTCTTGTAAATACCTTCAGATCCATAGCTAATTTGGTTTAGACTATGAAATTGGTCAACAAAGGCCCAGAGGAGTGTGGTTATTGAATAAAGCTATTCAGGTCCTGGATGTCAGCAGTTTACACTGCTATATCATGTGTTAACTAATCCAGATGAGTGACCATGAATGAGCACTCGTTTTTCCAGACAAGCTGTTTCTGAGGTTTAGCTTAGAAGCTGTTTTAAGGTTTCCTTAGGTTTAATGCTGGCCAGTTTTCATCCATACAGGTAAGCTGTAGGAAAAGATGATTCTGCTTACAGAGTTAATTACAAGCAAGTCAGTGGCAAACAGCCTCTGTCTTTGGAGGCATCTGCACCACGTGCTGAACTTGAGCGTCCATCACACTTCCAGTTTGGTGAAAGATTTCCTTAGGCTGAAGATTTTCATTTCCTAGAAACTTCTGAGCATGAGCAGTTCTACTGCAGAAGTGAGTGACTTGAAACAGTGACTCACCACTTGGTGTCAAGGGCCAACACCATGGCAGTGGTCAGTCTGGTTTCTTTCCCAGCACTGGGATTGCATGTGCTCGCCACTGCCTCCCTCAGTCGCCCCATGTCAGGCTGGTCTGCACCCTCTTGACTTCACCATCCCACAGAAGCAGAGGGCTGTTTGTTCTACCATTTAAATACTGTTTGAAAATAGGGCTGTTTGCAGTGTATTTGAGTATTTCCATTCCCAAAACTATTGTGACTGTGGCCTTGTGCTGCTGCTCCTTGCCCTGCACTTTTACAGAGTTTTTTCCCCATTCCATAACACCTGAGAGGCCTCTTCAGGGGATGGAGACAGTGCAGTGGAGTCCTGCTGAAGTGACAGCAGCTGTAGCAGAGCACATGCCTGTAGGATCATGTGGGTTGTTCTGAAAGGCATTTGCACCTTCCCTTTAAATACGCTGCAAGGCAAGGGGAAGTGGTGATGGGGAAGAAGCAGCTGCAATGTTTAATAGGCAATAAGGGCTCATTTAGGTTTAATCCCTTGCTAACAGGTAAATGCACTCCATTGATCTAAGTATGAGTTATCTCAATCAGGTGAGTTTTCAAAGGAGTTTGGGATCATTAAGTGTGCTGTTGGATAAAATGGCAGGGTGGCTCTGGGGAGCTGGTTATGGGGTGTTGCCAAGGGGTTAGGCTCTCAGTCTCCCTGCTGGTAGGTGTTTGCCAGCATTAAAGACTCATATCCAGGGCTTGAGGAGTATCCTGGGCAGAGCAAGCTCCCCAGGCCATGCCAGTATTGCTCTTGTCCCAAGGATGAACACATGACTCAAGTCTTAGAGGTCAACAGGTGTCTTATAAACATCCAAGTTAAAAATTCACCATGACTTTGTATTTCCTCCCTGGAGTATGCAGGCATAGCTGTTGCCACAGTGGCTGGTGATATCCTATCAGCTCAGTGTCTGCTTGCACGTACTTCAAATATCTGACGTACTAGCCGTGGTTGGAAGCGTTTTTCTTTTGAATGATGTGGACTTGAGGTTTTCAGACAGGCATTTAGCAGTGGTACATTTTTGTGGGATTGTAAAAGGTGTGTTGTGTAAACCACACCAGTGTGACTAAGGAGCTTTATTATAGTTGCTCTGTCATGGGAAATATTTGTGTGTTTGAAAATTTCAAGGAGATTCAAGGGCAAAAGAATGCTATGGAAACTTGCCTTTCACAGGAAGAAAAGAGTTTCAAGTTGATGACATGATTTTATGTATGGGTTGGGGTCTTTGCAAATAATAGATTTTATTTTTTTTAATTGATTTATTTTAATAGCTAGAGTTCTTAAATAAAACTAGAGCCTCCTGTGCTAAAATGTGCAGATATTTTTCTACATTTTTTTCTCCAAGTGTCGAAAGCTCCACATGCTGGATCATAGAGTAGGGCTCTCTCCCTGCAGTGGGTGATGAGGCAGCTGAAAGCAGCCTTTCTCCCTGGTCCCATGGCAGACTCTCTACATGGATTGCTGGTACTCCAGAAGCTGCACATCCATCTGCCCTGCAGGGCATCCCCCTGATTTAGAGGGATCTTTCCTAGAGCTTTGGCTTTGCACTGCGCTGCCTTTCTTGCTCACCTGCTGAGAGGCAGGTGCTCATATTTACACAGCCTGTATTTAGCCCACAGACTGAAACCCCAGATAACCTTTGTGACACATACTGAAAGAAAACCATTGATCGCGATCGATCAAAACCCTTCCTCTCATCCTCTATCCCTCAGCAGCGTGTGAGAGGCAAGGGAATGCCTTCACAGCCTTCCTGCACACGAGAAAAGGTTTCCCAGGATGCAACCATCTGCCTTCAGCGTTGCTTCTCTACCCAAGTTTCCATCATGTCACTTTGAAGACCTGGATTTAACACAGAGCCTCCTGGTTCTCCCTCCTGGGGAAAGGGTGCATCACAAGGTGTTGGTGTCCATGTGCAGGTAAGGGGAGTGCAGTGGCATGGATAAAGTGAAGGAACAGCTGGGGACATAAACATGAGTGTACAGGTGCTGCTCAGATGCCCTGCTATATCCACCAAACCATTTCCAGCCTTTGCTTTTTGGGTTGAAAATTTGGAAAGATGGAAGACAAGTTCAGGCATTGGCTGGGACTGAGCTGCCATTTGTCCAAGCTCCTGTAAAAGAAGAGTTTTTACACTGATGCTGAAGGGGTTTCATTTTCACACAGCTACAAAATTGCAGTTTTGATGTAGATAACAACTTTTTAGAATAGCATTTAGCAGGTAATACCCACTTTTCTCTCTCTAGGAAGGAAGTAAGAAGAGATCCATACTGACCGCAGCCCTGCTAAGTGGTCAGCCGGGCTCACGGTTTGTTTTCCATGGCAGGCACGACCAAAGAAGGGATCCTGGAATTATCCAAGGTATTATTTTCATTCTGTCACACCGCTAAGGCTGCACAGGGTTTTCCATCTCTCGTCTTTCATAAGAGCTTCCCAAAGGCTAGTCCAGTTTATGCTTGTGTCCCACAGTGGTGAACAGAAACAAGAGGCACCCAAATGTCACCAGTAAAGCTGAAACCATAATACTTCAAGCATTTTGGTTTTATTTAAAACAGGTGCTTTGCAAAGGTAGCTGACAAAATAATGTCCTGTAAGAGAAAAAAAAGTTCTAGAACAGGCAGACAAACAGGCAGACAGTTTTGCTATAAATGTTTAGGTTTTATCTGTTCTACATAGAATGATGTATGTGATAAGTGTGAAAGAATTGACAGTGCTACACATTGCCTGGTTCATATTTTATAGCATTCACATTTTAGTTTCTAACAATCTACTGCAATCCATAATTAAGACTGTAAAGCACCCAGTAGTGGCTTCTGCGGGTTTTGGCTCAGAAACATAAAATTTAACTCAGAGGAAAATGTCTGAGCTTTCAAAAAGAGGCTGTTTTCACATAGTGGTAGAAAATGAGAGAAATTTCAGCCCAAACAAGAAATATTCCAGGCAGGATCAGGGGTGAGAATGCAAAAGTAATTGAGCTGATGTGCAATAGTGACTGCTCTGGAGCTCCGTTGAGCTGCACAGGGCTTGGCTTTACTCGATGCCTTCAAAGCCTTCACTTGACACCTTCAGAGCAAGCTGGTAACACATCTGACTGCTAGTGAGAGTGTGAGTTTGCTCTTGTAAATCTCTGGTTAGAACGAGCAGCTGGTAAGTAAACACAGCCTATAGCCTTGGAGTTGTGCTAAATGTGAAAAGGGGAAGAGACTTAGCAGACTGTTCTGTTTAAAAAGAAACATTTCCTTGTACCATAAACACAAACATTTTAAAACATCTCTGGCACAAAGCTGCATGATTTCAGCAATGGGTGGATGAGGCTCCAGCAGAAGGATCTCACCGCAGTGCTGTCCCTCCCTCTTTGTGTGCTCCCTCCAGGACCAACCAGGACTAGCACCGCTGCCAGCAGCTGGGCACACACCTTTGCACATGTCACACCTTGCAAAGCCCCAGTGAAGTCTGCTTTGCATTTTTTGCCTACCAGGCAAGCTGGCTGCTGTGGTCATCCCTCCTACTCCTCACTCCCCAGTCAGTTGTGTTCCGGACCAGCAGCCTGTCCAGCCCAAGTGTGGTGAGACCCTGACTCCTCAAGCAGGGTGACAGGGCTCTGACACCGCACTTGCAAGCTCGATGGCTTGCTGAAACCCATCAGCATGATCCCTCCCCAGTCACCTCCAGAAGAGCGAGGGCATCAGGAGCAGCCGCTGGCCCTAAGCCAGGCATGTCATGCAGTATTGCTTTGCGCCACAGCCCACTCTGGAGCATCAAACTCATCTAGGGGCCACCAGTGCCCAAAAAGCCATGTGGTGTCAGAGAATGAGGCCAGGACCTGCAGGAGCACAAGGACCTTAAGCAGGACCTGCTTGAGCACAGATCAGGCAGGGCACAATCCTTGCTGAGGACATTGGGGGGGTCAAGCAACTTTAAGGAGATTAAAAAGGCTTTGTGACCCCTGGGAACTATCTGGGGGTGAAGGTCATAGCTTGATGCTGCTGTGGAGGCAGGCCCTTCACTAGTACAGGAAAAAAGCTCAGCAGCTGTTTCTGTCCTGAGCAGAAATCAAACAGCTCCACTGAGGAAGGATGAGTTTTTAATATTCACTTCATCTTTTGTGTTTGAATGTATTTATTTGAAAACATAGAGAAAGTCTAGGGTTTTTTCCTGGTCAAGGGTTAAATCTAAATACATAAGTGAAAGAACAACTTCCTTCTTTGCCTAAGTCAGAAACATGCTCCCAAGCTCATTGCTCAGCATGTGAGCACAGGGCAGGTTTTGTGTCCACAGGGCCAGCTCCCCTGGATCCTCAGCCTGTGTAAATAGCCGGGCCCTGTCCTGCCGCACCACAGAGGATTCCTGGGCCTGTGTGAGACCAGGGACATCGCTGCCGTGCCGGGCCGTGCCGGGCCGTGCCGGGCCCGGCACCAGCTGCAGGCTCTGGCCTCCCGGCAGGCGCTGCCGGCTCTTTCGGGGGTCAAGAGGCCACCGTGCAGCGTTCCGAGTCAGGTCGCAGGGACTGGCCCCGTGCACGGCCTGGAGTGGTTTGGGAGAGCTCCCAAAGCACATCTTCCGCTTTTCTTCCCCTCTTGGCAGCAATCCCGTCCGCCAGCTCCCGACATCAGCTAAAGTTCGTGGAGGGGGAAGGGACGGAGACCTCGGGCCGTGCCAGAAGGCCGCGGCTGGCACCCACATGTTGCACGGGCACCGAGAGGGGAGAGGGCACGGGAAGGGATGGGACAGGAGCTCTCCTCAGGGCTGGGGACACACTGAGGGAGGATGGGGGGCGAGGTGAGAGACTGCCTGAGGCCCAAGATGTCCTCTGACAGTGACAGGCGATACCCGGGGGCGTGAGGAGAGGGCAGCAATTCCAGGGGAGATGACAGCGAGGAAAGGTGCCGGGGGCTGGAACGCGAGGGCGCAGAGGCGGAGGCAGGTGGGTACATGGCCCTGCCGAGAAGGACTGACCGGGAATGCAATCCCCACCGGCCGGAGGAGGGACGTGGGCAGGGTGACTAAACTTCTTGTAAAAAGGGGTGGAGAAAGGAAAGGGAGGGACAAGAAGCGAGGAAAAAAAAAAAAGAGCCCTGCATGTCAAGGCTGAGGAAATGCTGTGGGAACTACAGCCAGGCGCCTTTTTTTTTTTTTTTTTTTTTCTTCTTCTTCTCTCTTCTCCCCTCGTGTAGCTGAGAGGAAGGAAAGGAAGAAAGAGAAGTAGTCAGCTCAAATGCGCCTCGCTGCGCTGCCCGGGCGCGGGGGCTTGGCTGGAAGGATCTAGTTTCCCTTCGGTGGCAGGAAAAGGAGCCACGGGAGGAGGCAGAGACGCACACCCAGACATGCCCGTCCCGTCAGGCTGCTGGCTCCTTCTCCTGTGTCTCGCTGCCGCTGGCGAACAGGTAAGGCTGGGAGCCGGCGGAGGGGGCAGTGGGTGCCGCATCCCGCCCGCTGGGTTGGTTTGCTCGTCCCGCTGCTCGGGGCGATCGGCATCCCGCGGGGCTGGGCAGAGCAGCTTCGCCTGCCTTGCCCCCCGCTCTGCTTGTTTGGGTTTTGGTTTTGTTTTTATCCCAGCAACTCATAAGCTTCTCTCGCTTCTGTAAAATCAAAGTTGTCCAAACCCAAAGTTGCAAAGGAAGCCAGGGGATCTGCAGGGAAAACAGCCTGCTTCTGCCCAGGGCAGGGTGCGAGAAACCAGAAAATATTTGCAGTGAGGTTGTTGAGGGATATAATTTGCATGTAGAGTAAAAATAAGGCAGACTCCACCCTACCGAACAGATTTATTCGAGAGAGCGTGGGCACACTTGTCCGTCAGGCATGGGACGCGGGGTTTTGGCAGCCCAGGTTCATCTTTCCAGCTTCCCCACCGGGATGAGTCCCCTCACGCTCTGGCCATCCCGCCAACCCGAATGCTGGCGGCCCCGGGACGAGGGACGGCCTTGTGACCCCAGCTCCGCGAGCGGAGAGGCTGAGGCTCCGAGCGGCCGCGTAACTCTCCCGGAGGCTGATGTGCTACCCATGGCAGAGCCAGGAACCCGAGCCCGGAGCCAGGTCAGCCGCCCCAAAGGGCAGCCCTTTCCTCTGGCGGGGGAAGATCTGAGCGAGGTTTGGCGCTGCGGTTGTTTGCAAACACAGCGTGCTCTGGTCGCAGCTCTGTGCGGTGCCGGGTGGCCAGCGTGGTACGCTTGGGATCGCGGCTGGTCTTCCTCTGCTGTCGGAAAGACCATTTTCTACAGCCAGCTCTTGCTCAGCCTTGTCAATGGCGCACATCGCGTTTCCTCCAGCAGTTTACATCGGCAGAAGTTTGCTTTGCTCTTTCTAATTATACAGCTTAAAAATTATCCTTGTCCCTTGTGGTTGTTTAGACCCTTCTAGACTGGCAGGAATTTCAAAAACCATGCTACTCTTTATTTGCACTTTATTTCGTCCATTAATCAATGTTTGGCAGCCTTGCTACCATTTGTATTTATTTCATCTGAACTTCTGGTATTTTTCTGTGTGTCATTGTTCTTGATAAGTTATGTAACTTAAAGTGCTTCCCTCAACATGGGGATGTAATTGGGCCATGGCTGGGTTCCCTGAAAGCAAGGTGCAACTTCAAGAAAAAAAAAGATAAAAACCCAAACCAAAACAGAAAACCCTCTGCTGTCTACAGCTTACAATTTCATGTCTGACCGCACAGTCCTGAGAGCCTTTCCTTTGGATCCCTGATCCTAAATATGTTGCCTAAAACCACACAGGCCTTTTTTTCCCCTCTAAAACATACGTTTCATTTTGTCCACCCTCACACTCAGGCTTCTCTCAAATCGCTGCTTTCCAGGTGTCCTCCATATGTATGTGAATGAGCCTGCAAATTTCAAAAGTGCCTTGTATATCACAGCTTTCAGGGGGTTTTCCCTGTCCCTCAGTAAATCCTGTCCTCCGTGTCTCTCTTTTTTCCTGCCCTGGTGCTCAGGACTGATCAATGCAGCAGGAAGAGCAGACCTCAACGCTCTTCGTACCTTTACTTCAGGTCACTAACCATTTACATGCCTGCTTCCTTCTGGAGCCATTTGGGTTTAGTGCAGTTTTTCCTTTTGGAATATCCTCATTGCCTGGAACTAGCTCAGCTTTTGACCAAACCTTGGAAATTCAGATTTCCATGGTATAGCTCCTGGCAGATTTCAGGTACCGTGATGTAGGAGCCAGAGCTCATCATCATTTCTCACCTCTTGATTCATAGTCTTTCACAGGACAAAGAACAAGGAACTTGTATTTATTTTGGGCTGATGTGTAAAGTCTTTCCACTGCCTCCAACATGTGCTTAATTCTGAGTCTGTGTTTGTACAGGGTGCAACTTTGCATCGCCGTTGCTTTGGACAAGTAGCAGCACAAAACTGTAGGAAGCTCCAGGAAAGCTGTAGCGTAAAGATAAGGATAAAACATAATTTGTCAAAGAGCCCATTAATTTAATATTCTGCCTTCAAGAGTGAGCAGAACCTACAAGAATGTGAAAGGCAAGCTTAGAGAGGTGCTGCTCTGAAACAGCCTTTCAGTTTTTCCTTTGTCTGACTGATTTGAGCAGTGGTTTCTTAGACTAGTGTTGCTTTCTGATGGAACAAATGTGAGAAAACCTGTGGGAGGGTTGAAGTTTTTCTGATGCATTTGTGTTAGTTTAGACTGGGTAATAGGGTGGAATAATGTTTGAACGGTGATATTGGCAGTGTATTTCCTGCAAAGAGTGAAAAGCATTTGGAAATGTAAGTTATTGCATACTCACTCATAATTCTGCTGAGAATAGACATGATCATTGTCATCATTTTCACCAAAGAGGAAATGGGAACAGAGAATTCGTGACTTGCTCTAGGTCACACACATGGAGCAGAACTTCTGGGAACAGAGCTCAGCCCTACTTATCTTGTGCTTCATCTACAAGATGATCTTTCCAAGTGATTTGTTTTGGGCACCTGTCAGAGGTATTTTGCTCTCTGGGGCATGATCTGCTCAGCTTCTTTGTGCAGAATAGTCACATCCCTTTCCATGCTTAACACCAGTAAAGAGTATCAGTGTTGCTATTAGATGGGAGTCAAAGTCTCTGAGAATGTGCATTTGCAAATGTGCAGTAAATCAGTTGCACCACAGATTCATCTCCCCTTGTGTGGCACGGAATGGGTCCTTCTACTACTCTGTGACATCTGCTTCATAGATAAAGTTTGCTCATTGCAAGCATTTGGAATTCTTTACAATATAGAAAAGTTTTGGCCAAAATATAGATTTTTCTCTAGCTTTCTAAAATGCACAGTCTGTATGATGAGAGAGGGGAAAAAAGAGTGTAGCAGTGACTGTACTGTGTTACATCATGGACTCTCCTGGTCCATTATTCCCACTCTGATCAGGACCAAAGGAATCATTCAGTAGAGCAAAAGTTCTACAATATCTAATCTAAACTCCTGGGCTTCAGCATGAGCTTCAAAGCTACTGTAATTCAGTTTGTTCATTTGTAAAATTTCCCTTGCAGCAATGGTTCCCGTGAGGAACACTGGCAAGCCTTCTACTGTTTTGCAGTTTACCCCAGAACACGTGAAAAATCTCACAGCACCTCATATCAACAGAAAATAATGTATGTAAAACTACATCAAACCACAATTTAAGAGATCTATCCCACTTCTCCTTTCATGTTAAGCATCATCTGCCTGATGTAATTTCTTCTTTCCCACCAACAGGACCAAAACAAACCTTTGCCACATTTCACAAATTGGTAGAATTCAAAACTTATCAGACATATCAAGGGTACTGACCAATGTCATCTAGGTCACAGGGCTTTCTTCATACTGTGCCAGAAGGAAAAAAAACAAACAAAAGAAACAGGTCAAGCAGAGAGATAACTGCATCCCTAAGGATCTTTTTTTTGTTTCTATTGCCCATTACTGTCTATTACCCTCAAGTTCTGAAAAGTGGGTGTAACTTGACAGCTGGGCAAGAACCAGTACAGATGGTAAAAGGGATGCATGTTTAGACTGGTTAATGATTTCCATGATTTTTTTCTGCATAGAAAATCATGGAAACCTCAAAGTGGTGCCCTCCAGTGTCACATAACACTATTTAGTACATCCTTGACACTATTTAGAGGAATCATACTTGAGTCACTTTGCCGGGCTTATCCATCTGTCCCTAGGAGTTCAAGTGGTGAAAGGCTCTCCTGTAGTAGGTACATGTGCAGATGCAAGGAAAAGGCAATGCTTGCTGCAAGGCTGTCCTCCTGCTTCTCCCTGCCCACTTCCTCTCTGTATGACCAGGTCTCCAGGAAGTCTTTGTGGTGACCAGAGCCAGGAGGGTTCCTGCCACCACATGCCATTACCACAGAATTCAGATCTCCCTCCATCCTGTGCCCTGTGCTGCAAGGAGCTGCTCTGCAGCAAAGGCTGCAGGACACTTGGAGGAGATGGTTGCTTCGGGAGCTGGTTGAGCTTACACAGGAGGGAAGAGGGAAACGGAGATAGCTGGTTCATCATGCCATCAGCTGCAGCTCTGCTCCTTGCATAGACTGTCCCCTTCCTTTCCATGGAAACTCAGCTTGCAAGGCAGCACTGGCTTCTGCTGCAGCCAGACACCCCTGTTTTTAAGGATGCCTTGGTTGGTGTTGCTTGCATGGAGAAGCAGCTGCTCTGAGAATGGCTTATTATTGCCGATGGAAAACGCAAAGGCAAAATATTTGTATGTTGTAAATGCAAGATAAAAATTAAGTGATGTTTAACCAAGGTTGCACTCTGGACTTGAGTAGGCCTTGGTCTGTGCGGCACAATAGCCTGCCTGCAAGAACTTGCCCCTTTTTATGACTTACTCTTCTTTGAAAATGGTCCAAAGTTCATGTAGTAGAAGAAAAACGCCACAAGCAGCAATGGCTGGAAGTCACAAGGTGGGCTGCAGGTGGGAATCCGGCTGCGCTGGCACTCAGGGCAGCCTGCTGTTGTGTCTGCCCTGGGAGAGCCAGACTTGGTGTGATGCTTTGGCACTCGGGAAGGCAGGTTTCCTGATTTGTTCCTGTCTGTGTGTCACCGCAGTGTGCCATCATACTTGTGATGGGGTGCCTTCTGGAGGGCTCAGCACTGCACAGCAGGAGCAATGCTGACATCACCCTGGCACTCCAGGACATCCTGGTTTGTGTCTCATACCTGTGTAGCCACCTCAGCTGCTTTGTGCAGGGCTTCTGATGGTTACCTCTTTTGTTTGCCTTCTCAGAGTGTGAGTTCTCTGGGCATGGCTTTCTTTGGTGTTTGTGCAGTGCCCAGGATGTCATGGCTGCAAACGAAGCCAAAGAGTCATTAATCACCTTGGGATAGCACCCCATCTGTTTCTCACCAAAGTCACAGGGAGGTCTGCCCACGCAGGCCCAGGAAGGGAGTGGATACATTGCCCTGGCAGG